TTTGCGATAAGACGTTTATTTCGGAACAACAACCAGATTGGTTATCATTGTTATGGTATTTGGTTGAGGTCGTTATAAAGGTCACATTCTTTCACTATTTCGAGATCAGTATAGATATGACTTCCTACCAATAAGTATGTTTCAAATTATAAACAACTCCAGGTAAAAAGCGTTATGAAGAAGTAACTAAATGTCTACTCAGTTATTACGTTGTGTGGCGAATGGAAGAAAATTCGAAAGTTATAAAACGCTATATTTCAAAAAGTTGTACAACAAATTTTAATATATCGTTGGAAAGGTAAGTAAAAATCCTTTTTTTGATGAAGATAAATTTTAAGAAAATCCAAAAAAAAAAATTAAAAAATTTTGTATGGAAAATCCTTTTTTTCTTAAAATTTTGTCGCATAACCCATAAGCCAAACCACCAGAAATAAAAAGAGCATGAAAATGCCTTTAATTTGTTATATAACATGCAATATGAATTCTCTTAAATAATAGCATATAGATGATTCTGAAATTGAATCAAATTAGTACAAAAATAATTTTGTTTCAATAAGACCATAAACTAACCATTTGGCGGAATCCGATCATAAAAACAACAAGCCTAACTAACACCGGCTTCGCCTAACACAGTATTCTTGAGCGATACTCCTCTGTAAGTTGGTGGCTTTCGGCCGAACTTTGGATTGTAACCCTGGGCCGAACCAACACCGGTTTCGCCTTTTGTAAGTTAGGCAAATTTGCGAGTATGCGTTTGGTTAGTGCTCGTTATTAGCACAATTAAAACGAAATTATTATTATATTTATTTGTTTCCAAATTTTTTCCAAAATTTCCTTCTAAAAGTATAAAGGTATACACATTAGAAAATAAGAATTTTAGTCACCCTTAAAACGATACCAAATTTTCATATTTGGGGTTCAAGTTTGCTCCAAAAGATGTACATCATTAAAATTCTGAAATCAAAGCAATCACGATTATTAATTCATTTTGTTCTACCTTAACGGTCTGTATTCTGCACTTATGGCCTCTACTCTAGCACTGGATGGTATGGCGATAATGGGATGGTCACTTGCCGTTAATACGTCAGCGTAGGTCATTCGTTCAGGATTCGAACTGGGTAAATTGGGTAGGGGCCACAAGAGAACAATACTTGGGAGTTGGAAAACACGGAAAACCTTAGTACTTGCCATAGCAAATACTACACAATTTTGCGCTATACGATATATTCAACCTGTAATTAGATGCGACTTCCCCTAACGATTACGACCGTCCTAATCTCAAATCCTTGCTTTTGTAGAGCTCGTTTAATACCACTTCAGTCAACTTAGGATTCAGTTCCATTTATGATAATTATCTCAAATTCTAGTATTGACGTTTTTTGCTTTGTTGGTAAAGTTGTAAAATTGTATGTCATGTTGTATTTGCAGTATCCGCAAAAATATTCGGGGAATATTGCGAGAGTGACAGTCCCTGGCCTGATAAAATCCAGGTCGCTGCGGTATAAAAACCCGACTATCGCGGAAACTATTGGATTTAAGTCGCTTCGTATGCCTTATCACCGCTAAATTTTTGATTCCCTAACCTGCAGTATGGATTTTATGTTATTGCTTTATGTGCTATGTTAGTATGACGTCAGCAAAAACGGATGGTTGTTAAAATTCATAACTGCGGGAAAACGGGCCTGTGATTGATTTCTTCTTCGCCTTGAATTTTTATTGTCCATACGCATATGTATTTTTATTTTGTTAATCATTTGAACAGCTGATATGAACATACTCGGGACTTAGAAACTAAAACAAACGAACGAGTAAGTCTGTTTATGAGCCCAGCTGACTAATTGACGGCATAAAGCTTTTGTATATAGCATTCGCGAATAAGGTTCACTATTCAATATATTGTATATACAGTCTTGGCCAAAAATATTAGGCACCCGACTAATTAATGAATTTTTTGTTTTAACAATTGAAGTGATGAAGTTTTATTAGTAGAACAATGAAAATATATTTAGTGGGTCCACCCTTCGATTTAATAACGGCAGCAATTCTCTTAGGCAAGCTGCGTGCAAGCTTTGCACATTCGTCCGCACTTATAGCGTTAAGGCATTCTTCAAGGCAGTTTTTGGTGGTATACTGTGTTCCTTAATTTTGAGTTTTAAAATAGCCCACATGTGCTCAATGGGATTAAGATCTGGAGACTGTCAGGGTCAATCTAACAAAACTATGTTTTTGTCTCTGAACCAACGCATCGTAGTCGCTGATTTGTGGCAAAGAGCATTGTCTTGCTGAAATTGAACCCCGTCTAAATTAGTATCGCCGAAAATGCGCTTTAACGAATGCAGAAGAACAGCTTCTAATACATTTATGTACTTTTGACTGTCCATGCCACAAAATTGGCAATCTTAACCTGAGGCTTACCTTCCTCGCTTACAACTTAAATTCGAACTATCATCGAAACTAATTTCACTTTTTTTAGGCATTTCTTTACTTTTATCAACAACCGAAATTGAATTTGGTATTTTGGCGAAATGGTTACGTTTGGAAAAACTTTGGCAGCACTGCTTTTCTCGTCCTTGTCAAATTACATTTGCCCGTTGGTAAAGTAAAAAAGAAGATTTATTCACATCGAAACGGAAGACGATGCACAACAAAATAAATAAGTTTCAATTATTTATTTATTAAATGATAAATATTTAAATTTATTTATGGAAAATATGCCTAAACGACAAAAAAAAAACTGAATGAAAACGCTATCTTCCAAATTAAAAGAGCCATTTTCTCTCGCAAACTTCTTGGCATATGCCTTTTTACACTTTTTTCTTCATCTTCAATGAATTCCAGGCCTAAAATATGCCTATATATTTTGGTTTTTTTTTTTTTCAAACTTACAACACAAAATCAAACAGCAGATTTTTTTGTTACCTCCTATTTCGTTGGTAACAAAATTTACAGGGTTACTGTGAACTCAGAATACGAAATAATAAAAAAATATACTAAATGGTAAATTTTAATATCAAAGTAAATTTAGTTACCTCAACAGAAAAGGCCTGTAAATGGTAAATTTTAATATCAAAGGAAATTTTGTTACCTCAACAGAAAAGGCCTGTTAATGTAATTTACACTTTCACTTTAAAAAAGACAATTTTTAGATGTAGCTTACCCAGAGTGCTATTAATTTATTCGTTTAATTAACAGTTAAAACGCCCATGTAAGACATTTACAAACTTGTATTTTAGTGGGGTGCCTAATACTTTTGGCCAAGGCTGTACACATGGTAGATATTTATTAATATGTCTAAGCAATCCATTTTCCTACATTCACATAAACGAATCTCCAAAAAATATTTATATTAACTAGACAGATATGCGCGCCAAATACCACAAAGCGGTTTCTTTGTACACAAAAGAAGTAAACGAATACTAAAGGGTCGTTATGCCTTGCGCGGAACGCCAACGAATAATTTAAATTAGTGAAATATTTAGCGGCAGACACGCTACTCAATTTATACTCGACACTAACGATAGTAGTGGGTCTCCATTAGCTAGAATGCATGTAAGAAAGGGGGAAGAGTAATGGAGGTGCGCCAAACTTGGAATAGTACAAAAATTTTCCTAACTTTAGGAATTACTTTTATGGAAATCAGTGGACCTCTTAAGAATGTTAATTACAGCAACGTACATAAACAGTACATATGTATGAGTATTTGTGAGGCGTGACAGCATTGTTGAGCAATAGATACTACCTTATCACATATATACATATGTGAACTAACCGTATATTTCTGGAATAATTGTTTGAATTGTAAGTATTATCGTGCATACAGCTGCAGTCAAAATAATAGCATCACTTTAGGTATTTAATTACATTATTCAATTCTTTAACAATGAGAAGCTTCAAATATTGTTAGTTGCTCAAATAAAATGATACTAAATTCAATTGCTTTTCAATTTAAAGCTTGGGAGACTTAGAGAACATAAAGCCCACAGTCCACGAGAGTCCCTCTTTTGACAAATAACATAATAATAAAAATCAACTTGAATGGTCAATCAAGAATATTCTGTGGACAGAAGAGTGTAAAGTAGATTTATTTGGTGGAAAGGTTTCTCGATCCTATGTTAGAAGAACATCAATTTTGAAAAATAATAGAAAATTTACAGCAAAGACTTTAAAATACAGGTTCCAGTAGCATGATTTGGGGATGTTTTTCGTACTATGGTGTTGGGCATATTCATCCTATAAATCATGGATACAACAGAATATATTAAAATATTAGGGGAAGTAATACTGACGAATGCTTTTGAAAATATGCCACAAATTTGGGACATGCAAGATTGTCAGGGGCCTAGCACTCCATTTCATTACAGAAGTGTCGGAATTTGGTCAATTCCATGGAAAGGCGCTGCAAAATTTACATCCAGTATGAAAGATAGATTTTAATATTTCAATAAAAGTAAACGATATTAAAATTGACCAGTGCTATTATTTCGACAGATTCTTTGTTCAGATTTTTAGAAAAAATAGGATTTTTGATACTAATTTCAATTTAAGTGGGATTCGTTTCCTTTTTATCATTGAAAATATATAATTTTTTTTATTTTTGAATAAAACTACACAACCTTTTTTTTGAATAAATAAGATTTAGTCACCTGTTTAGAATCTAGTATTATTTTGACAGCAGGTGTACATATGTACATATGTACGTATTTTCATATCTAAATACAGAGAAAAAACCTTTTTATTTGCCCTATTCTCAATACTGCTAAGGAATATTCAAATGTTTGTTTATATTGGTAACTTCAAACAGTTAAGGGTGCGCCTTGCTTTGTTTGGAAATCTTCAAGGATATATTGTAGTGACGCCATTCAAACGTTTGTATTGTGTGTGTTTCCAAAAATCGGGAGAAATAGTTCGTCTATGAATGTCTTATTGATTGACAACTGATAGGACGACTGCGCCTTTCTTCTATAATATAATTGAAAATAAACATATTTTAGTCCACCCACCTTATTCTTCCTTTGAATTGTTGTTCACGAAATTTTGCACAATTAACTACTGCAGTCTTGAGCAAAAGAAAGTCCTCGTATTAAAGAAAATTCACTACAAAGATCTTCTTGTTTTTAATATTTTTTTTTATATTCAAAAGTCCTAAGATAAACTTAGCTTTTAAAATTTACCGACTCGTTTATCGCTTTGCCTTTGTTCACTTTTTTGTTGTTGCTTTTCGCTACGTTCATGAATAAATATAATCTTTTTCATTAGCTATCACAAATGCACATCATTAGAACTTGAAATTTTATTATTATCATTAATTTAGTTTGTTTTCCTACTTTATTATACACTACATCGCCCGACACAATTTCTAAACAACCAATCATCCAAAGAAATAGAATTAAATTGAAAAGAAAATAATCAAAAGTGTCTCAGGGTTACATTGTCGACTCAAAAACAGAGTTGCTCAATTTACTATTCAAAAACTTGCTTCAATTGTTTTCAAAAAAGAATCCCGCATATATTTCATAGCATTGGTTGTTTACCATAGATATGGCATATGACATTATAAGTAATATCCTTAATACAAAATGACTTAAAGTTAAAAGTATTTACATAAAACTGGTACTTAATAATAATTCGCGCTTATTTAACTCTGCCTTACTTGTTCTTATTTATCTAATTTCAAGTGGTTGTAGATTTCGTTTTGACTGACGTTCTCTGTTGACAACTCCAGAGAACGTAATCGACTTGACAGTAGAGAGAGTCAAAATATATGAACGAGTATAAAGAGTATAGTAGGCCCAAGAGAATAACTGTGTAAGGACAATTGAAAAAATTTGTTTAATAAATGGCAAATTTATTTTATTCGGTGTTCAAGTGAATGCTATTGAACGATTATTTGCCTGAAATGCTTAATAAAACAAATTAAATGTTTGAAGCGATCGAATATATCAGATCTTACACTGATTATAAGTAGTAAAGAGACAGAGTAAATTTTTCCAATTAGACAACATCTCACAAGCAATCCGACTGCAAAAATTGCATCAACTTTGTTTTACAGTGCTAGCGTCAATATTGACTTGGATTAGTGGAAATAGAAATGTTGACGCACAAAGGTTGTCAAGGTGGCCGTAAGAAAATGCAGGTAGGTTATGTGGCGATTGTGAGACCTAGTAAACTTGCGCTGTTGCATAGATTATTGATGCAGAGCCGGCGAAGGAAAACGCATACATATATAATTCCATTAAGAAAATACAAAATCGAAAAAATATTTATGTATATATTTTTATTTCTTTCTCAGGTATCCTTCGTAATAAGAGATGCAGAGGAGAAGCAGCACAGAAATGGTGTTAATGCCTTGCAGCTTGATCCCAATAATGGCAAGCTCTATTCAGCCGGACGTGATGCTATTATACGTGTATGGAATACTAGAACAGATTCTTCTGATAAATACATACAATCGATGGAGCATCATAACGATTGGGTTAATGATATTGTGCTTTGCTGCAATGGCCGAAATCGTCAGTAGAGTTTTTGGGTATATTTTATTAAGTAATTATTTTAATATCACTTTAATATTAACAGTAATAAGTGCCAGCTGTGATACCACTGTGAAAGTGTGGAATGCTCATAAGGGGTTCTGCATGTCTACACTTCGTACACATCGTGATTACGTACAGGCTTTGGCCTACGCTAGAGATCGAGAGCAAGTAGCAAGCGCAGGTTTAGATAAGGCGATTTTCCTTTGGGACGTGAATACGTTAACCGCATTGACTGCCAGCAACAACACCGTTACAAGTTAGTTGAAGTATTGTATTTTCCACATTTATATTTATTTTATTAAAAAATGTAATATCATTTCCAGCCTCTAGTCTCACCGGTTCCAAAGACTCTATATATAGTCTGGCTATGAATCCTGCTGGTACGGTTATTGTTAGCGGTTCTACAGAGAATATTCTTCGCATTTGGGATCCCCGCACCTGTACACGTAGTATGAAACTACGTGGTCACACCGAAAACGTACGCGCATTAGTCGTTTCACCGGATGGTAATCAAGTAGTATCGGGCAGTTCAGATGGTACAATAAAAGTTTGGAACCTAGGCCAACAACGTTGCGTGCAAACCATACATGTACATAAGGAAGGTGTTTGGTCATTGCTAATGAGTGAAAACTTTCAATACGTCATTTCCGGTAGTCGAGATAAGAATATCATTGTCACCGAGTTGCGAAACCCTAGTAATTCGGTGTTGGTATGTGAGGAGCGTGCACCAGTGCTTAGCTTGGGCTATAACATTGACAAAACAGGTGTTTGGGCTACTACATGGAATTCCGACATACGTTGTTGGAAGTTGCCATTGTATGATAAATGCACTTTAACGTCTAGTGGAGGAATGGATGCACAATGGGGATTAGCATCAAACACAGAACTCACAAGCATTAAAGGTTAGAGCTAAAAAAAATTATTATATCTATTACTATTATACCTTCATTTACTGTTTAGGTGGGGCAGCGGTTAAAAAATGCGTAGTTTTGAACGATAAGCGTTTTATTGTCACAAAGGATACTGAAGAAAATGTTGCCATCTATGATGTTTTACGTGTAATAAAAAAAGAAGATTTAGGAAAAGTGGACTTTGACGAGGAGTTGAAAAAACGTAATAAGCAAGTTTACATTCCAAATTGGTTTACCGTAGACTTAAAAACTGGAGTAAGTAGTTATTATGTTAATTTTATGTTGATGTCAGAAATAAACAAAAAATATTAATTTTTCAACCAGATGCCAACAATTGTTTTAGGGCAGGATGAAGTTGATTGCTTTGCGGCGTGGGTCTCTATAGAGGCTGGTCTTCCAGAATGTGCAGAACCAACATCAGAAACTAAAGTGTGTATGAAATTGAAACGAGTTTTGTTTCATTAAAATTTTTTCGCTATTATTTAAAGATAAATTATGGAAAATTGTTACTGGAAGCATTATTAGAATATTGGACGCCACCGCATAGCTTACCGCAGAGCGAGTTGGAACCAGATAGCCATGGTAACGGATATTTTCAAGTACCCAAACACACCCCAGTTATTTTTAGGTAATACTGAGGAACTATATACTCGTATATTGTATAATATTCTTGGCATTGTATCCTTATTTACATATTAAACATTTTCCCTAATTTCAGTGAGGTGGGTGGGCGCACAGTATGTCGCCTTTTAGTGCGTGACGCAGCTGGCGAAAGTGAAAGTACTTTACTTCATGAAACGGTGCCACAATGGGTCACTGATGTCGTGATCGAAAAAACTATACCGAAATTCTTGAAAATTCCATTCTTCCTCCAACCACACCCACAAATGATTAAGCCTGAACGTACCAAAAAGGTAATTAAAAACATATTCAAGAAATTAAAAAATATATATTTTTTTTCTAATTTTTATTGTACTTATCTAGGACCGACTAGTTGCCAACGAGTTTATACAATGTCGTAAAGTATGCGAGCATGTATTAGAAAAAGTATTAGGCGCAGAGACAACGCCTAGCGGTGGTAACGCATCAAACTCCTCGCAGAATAGTCAAAGTGATGCGAATTCAGAGGGCTCACAGGTACCTGCCGAGGACCGCATTGAGTTATGGTGTAACGATGTGGTAAGTATAGTAAGCACATAGAAAATTGAATCTAATACTCCAATATTATGTTCAATTAGGCTGTTGATCCCAATATGGACTTACGGACAGTGCGCCATTTTATCTGGAAACAGTCAACCGACTTGACTTTCCAATATAAGACAAAGCCAAATTTCAGCTACGATGGTAAACTATGAATAAATACTCTCGACGAAATTTACTAAATCAGCAACATCAACATCAACATATTTACATATTGTTAACACCTACTCTTACACACCCACAATACATCCAAAAGTTGCGTTGTGTTTCAATATTTTCGACGTGAAAACAAAGGATGACAGGGGTTTCATTTAACAAAAATGCGTAGCTTAGTTCAAATCTTTTACAATGATCTACGTTCATCTAACTAATGAGAGTTAGTATTAAATCTATATAAACGTACAAAGATATTTATTTTTGTTATTAAATATGTTATTTTCAAAGAAAAAAAAACTGAACAAAAACAAATAGATATGAGTTGTTTTTGTTTAATTTTTTTTTATTTTTAATCTAAGCTGAGCGTGCTGAACTTTGCCTAGAATTTTCTCTTTTTTTCGTGCATTAAAATCATTATTTGGTAATATGTAGTTAATCTTACTGGATCGAGCTGGATGAAAAGATGATGAAATTTTCGATATATATTTTTTCATGATGAAATTTTAAAGAATCCTTTCTCTAAAGAATATAAATCATCAGTAAACATGAAAAGGTAGTCGTTTATAGTTTTAGAATGAGGGAATTTCTGAATTAGGAACTACGAATTATAATGCAATATGGCAGCGTTTATTTATTACTTCAATTTATTTATCTTACAAATTTGTTAAGAAATTCCGCATCGTATTTATGTATATGTGGCTGGTTTTTTTAATCGAGCTTGATTGTATTTATAAAATCTAGAGACATTTAATATACATTATTGGGTTAACTCAATAATATATGTATATGGTGTGTATTATTCTCAATTTATTTACTTTAATATTTAATAAGTTTAAAGCTATTCTATATGAAATTATAAATATAAAATAAAATACAAAATCAAAAACTTAGATAATACAGCAACGACTACTATACAAGTAATTTACTACGTATGTTACAAACTACGTATATACATTTATATATATCTATATATATATGTATGTATTGTATATATATATTAATTATTAGAAAGAAATTAAAATTTCATCCAATAAACTGACAAATTTGTATATAAGTATGAGGCTTGTGTGTTTACTTTAAATTTAAATGTACGTATTTACAGGCATATATAAACATGACCTAGGCACAATTAGAGCGAAGTTGTTTCAATGAATTTGTAATAAAGTACGATTAGGATTCAGCTGCCTATTCAAACGTTCTTTTAGTTCACTTTTCAGTGTATTAGGAATAGACATAAATTCGTCAATAACCTTCGTCGCTAATGTGGGTGGTATTGAAGCAAGAGTTTGCACAATTCTCCAGAGGCAGTTGTCCCGTAGAGACCGCAACGGTAAACATATGCGAATTTCCTTGCGGCATGGAATAAGTCGAGAGGGATCGGCTGGGTCAGGCATTTGATACGTTTTTGGCCAAAATATTTTAGAGTGATTCACCTATATTGGAATTTTAATTATTGAATGGTCTTTTGGGCCGTTCTTTTATGATTACTTACATGCATTAATTCTCTGGTATCTTTATCAAAAAAAATCCAACCGTGATTTGTAAATGTGTTGGTTTTACATTGGGCGCCTGGTGTTAATGTCATGTGGAATGTTATGTTGTGATCAAGGTACCAATATAGATTGATGGTGCGTTGTGTAGTATTGCGAAAGAGTACAAAGGACTCTTTGTTTCGAGATCTCATATCGGCTGGCTCCATTGGCACTAATTGTACTAATTTTGTTTTACTACCAAAATATCTGCAATATTTATGCTAAGCTGATAAAAACAAACGATCTTAAACAATAATCAATACGTTGCCACTTTTTGACAATCAAAAGTGGTTTGTTCAGTGAAAACAGCCTAGAGTATTGCCAAAGAACGTATATGAACGTATACACGTTCTTTGGCAGAAATAAGTGCAAAAAGGCGCAATTCAGCCCGTAGTCGTTTTGTCAGCAAAAGTTGCAGTGTGTTAACTTAGCCTTAAGTGTTGTGTTTATTTGCGATGGCTGTGTGTATTTCAATAATTGGTAAAGATGTAAGTTTTAATTAAGTTATTAACAGGAAATTTGTAAAAATATGATTTTTACAAAAAATTAGTTAGCAGAACAAGTATTCAAACCTAGTTTGCTTGATTTTTAGTAAAATATATTAGGTTAAAATTAAGAAATTCAGAACATATTGTTCAAAACAGTTTTCATACTGTTATCTCCATGGGTAATATATTATAGCACAAAATCCAATAAAGTGCTGAAATATTTTTTTGGACTCTTGGAAGTAAACGGAAACTTCTATTCTGTATATGGATCAACAAAAAGAATTAAATGTAATGATTCTAATATCGAAGAAACGGTGTTTTCTCGGATGTGCCAAAAACTGTTCAATGGAGATTAGGAATCGACTTTTTGGAATAGCCCGAAACTGTTGAAACCACTGCTGCGAAGAAGTTGTTGTAGTAAACGCAAAACATTCACTGAATTGTGTTTCGGAAAAAACAGTCTTTGACCAGATAAAATCGGATTGTGCCGGGGACTATTGGATTTTAGTTGCTTTTTGCGACAGACATGTCTTACGTCGGTAAGTTCTGTAGCCCTTAACCCGCAGGGGTTTCCAGCCGTCGTACATTACTCTGATATAAGTCTAAATAAATCTTTGTTTACAAAACGCAAAAGAGGATGAAAGATAAGAGTTGTTTTATATTTTATTACTATTGTTTTTTCAGAACGCTCCACTCTACCTGACTACTACCGATTTGGACAAAGAATTGGAGTTGCAGTATCGTGTTCATGCAGCTCTTGACGTCGTAGAAGAAAAATGTCAACCTGTGAGTAAGGGTACACCAGACTCAAAAGAGCTCTATTTGGGTTTACTGTACTCGACAGAGACACATAAAATGTATGTGTAAACCATTCTTAAAGTACATTCTTTAAAAAAAAAATTATTTAATAATAATTTCCGTTTAGCTATGGGTTTGTGACAAACACCAAAATCAAATTTGTTATTGTTGTGGACTCGGGAAACATTGCATTGCGAGAGAATGAAGTGCGAGCTGTAAGCATTAATTAGAATAAAGAATCTATTAAGAGAACTGACTATTTCTGTTTGTAGATGTTTAGAAATTTGCATATGCTGTACACAGATGCAGTTTGCAATCCATTCTATGCGCCAGGTGAACCGCTAACTTCAGTGTAAGTGATATAATATATAAACAGATCATATAAATCTTATTTTTATTTCTCTACAGAAAATTCGATCGCGCAGTTCAAAAAATTATGGGCGGCAATGCTTAATTGAATCCATTTCGTTATTATTTTATTCGGTATTTATTTATTCTTGTGTACAATAACCAAACAAAATACAGCAGTTGTATACAAAACAATAACATCAAAATACTTAAAATATATAACGTTCATAAGAACTGGGCCATTCCATAACATAACTATAAGGTGGGAATGTTGCAAGGAATTTTTGGGTTTCCGCGTCACGTTCGTGCTCAAAACTAACCCAATGCGCAGAGATACCCAACTGCATTAACGGTTCATTAAAGTCGCTGCTCTCTTTCTGCATTAATTCATCAAGACAATTAGTAACTCAAAAAATAATTAAACAGTTTTAACTTACCTGTAAGTCGATGTAAAAGTTCAATGGTGTTTTAATTTTTCCGGAAGAAAAGTAAACGTGGAAGGGTGGCTGATTGCGTAGATAATCTGACAAAAAGGACCAACCACTCACTGTAACCTTTTCCAGAGGTTGCACAAATATGCTTATATGTGAAGGACCTTCTAGCTCGAATTCGAAGCGTACACTTTCGGAACTAAGGCTGACATTTTTATTGAGAAGAGTGAGGCGGGGTTTTCCTGGCAACGTGACGGGTACTTCACGTGGCAGCCAAGCGGCTTGTCGACGCGACTTGTAGGTGCGATGATTGAAAATGGGTAGACCACACATCATATATTTATCACAGTCGTCTCCAACGTAATATAGATCTTCGATATCAACACGAGCTGAAATATAATATGAGATCCTTGGTTAGAGATGCATAGTTTGAATTTTTGATAGCTTCACATTTTTATTTACCCTCAAGCGGCTGATGTTTACGCCTGTCTTGGAAATCAAAGTAATATCCAGACTCATTACGGCTAACAGAGCCGTCATATTCATAGAATACACGTTGCACTTCCTGAAGAGAATAGTAAACGAAATATATACACATATGTACATAAATATTTCATTATTAAAAATCTATTTTTACTTATTTTAAATTTTACTCGAAATTACCATTAAATTAACTCGCTCCACGTTAGTCTTTGGTCGATAGGGAAATCCGATCTGCGACATTGCGATAAACGCGAAAACTAGGGTTACAACGGGAAGAATTAGGAAAACCAACTTGGGACGGTTAAACACATTTAGCAGTGGGATCTGTAAGAGATTAGAACGCTTTAACTGGATGTACCTATAAAATAATGTAGTGTTAAAATATACCAAATATCCCATAGAAAGCATGGTTCCCAAAGCAGTCAGCAAGCTTATGTACAAGTCTGGATTACTGGTGGTGCCGAAACGACCCATCATCGGCATCAATGTGCACAAAAACGCATGGAAGAGGTAGGTGAAGTACAGGAAAGGTATAATTTGACCAAGGATCACAAAGATGGACCAATAGTAGGCTGTGTGGTACAAAATGCGACATTTTAAATTGATATACATATACAGTAGTTAGGGAAAAATTCTCAAAGCACCAACCTTTTTTATCAAGCGTCGTCAACATATTTATTGTCATAGAAATAGCATGGAAGAGTAGTGGAATCATTAAGAAGTACGAGGTACGTATGCCCACGTATGTTAAGCCAATACAAATTACAGCTAAAATCAATGTATGCGCATGATCGACTAGTTGTAGACGGTAAGGTTGCGATACTTTATCCTTATTGTGTGAGAAAAGACACAAAAGCGACTGACTATAAATACCGTTAATACTTTCCACTCTAATCTACTTACATTACGACTTATGCTCAGGTACAGTAGTGTAGGTGTACTTAATCCCAAGAGCGTTGGGCAAACATATAGACCGAGAACAAGCCATTTACTAGTAAACCATGTTAATGATTGATCGGCACTATCGAAAATTGTAGCCATAAGTGCAGGTAATGCGAAAGCCAATATCCAACCCAGTAAATGTAGCACAAAAATGAGAAGGAATAGACGCAATATATAGCCGATGGAAACGAAGGAATCGGCTGCCATTAAATACATGGAAATGCTTATGAGAATGACAGCACCGACAGCAACGCAAGTGTTGAGAATTCGGCCAGTAGCCTCGGTATAGTAGACGACAAAATAACCGAAGAAATCATAGAAGACGGTATGTCCGTTTACATGACGCTGTGAGGGAAGAAATAATATTGGTTTCGTTAATCGTTAGCATTCTTCTGATCGCTCTCACAAAATTAGTTGCCTCACTATTGCGAGGATTTTGCGTTAAAAAGTTATGCATAATCTAGTATTAATCGTTTTAATAAACTTATTTTAACACATACATATGTACATACATACATACCAGCGAATCTATAACAATTAGAAGGCAGGGCTTGTTGAGATTTTAAAAGTGAATTTCACTTGTTTTAATAATTGTGTACATATGTATGTTTTTTTTGCAATAATTTTCAACATTATTAATTTTTGGATATTTTTTATTTTACTATTTTTTTTACTGTTTTAAGCAATGTAGCAAAAAAAAAAAAGAAATTAAAACGGAGTGATTTAAACTCCTTTTTATCAATTAATTTGTTTGGTTAAAAGTTCAAGCCAAAGAAATATTGTACATTAACATAGGGAAATTATTTACTACGATTTCTCTGTTTTTAGCAGAAATCACTTGTCTTGCATTTGTTAACAAATTTTATTTTATGGTGTCTGTTATTTAACAGCGTGTTGAATTCCCTACCCGCGATTTTTCAGAAGCTGTCAGAGAACTCATAATTCGTGCCATGAATATGCACCTTTTCACTATTACAGATTCTCTGCACATACATAAATAAATGAAAATATGATCTGGGGTATACTTTTAAGCGCAATTGACAATTAATTATATGGGATTAATCAGTAGAAACAATATTCTATAATCAACCTACATACATACATACTCATATATATGCATATATTTTGTACTCACCGAAGGATCCTTCAACTCCGTGCTATTAGAAAAAGTACGAGCCATAGCCAATATATTGTCGCCTGTTGTTTGTAGGGTGCCACGTGGTATGACATCCGTGCGATCGAATTTCGTGTGGTACACATAACCGTTATAGGAGTGCGCTATATCCAGACCTATGAGAATATACAGAAATCGGACGTTCAAAAAACTACTCATCAATATTACATAAATATTTCATACTGATAATACCAACCTGGTAATTTGCCGTAATTGCTGAATATTCTGAAATCAGTGTCCGAAGGTAAAATGCCAGATTGGAATATTTCCTCTGCAAATGTTGATGCAAATGAACGTTTCACACTTGTACGGTAGATCTATAGGAGAGCAAAAAAAAAAAATTAAAGGAGGAGAACTAAAACTAGGAGTACAGCTACTCATGCGCACAAATCCAGCAATTTAACTCTATCAATATACATATATGTATACTGTTTTAACTGGCGGCTTAGGTAGCCGAGTGGTTAGCATTGCCTACTGCAATTCGGAAGGTCAGGGCACAAATCCTGGGATGACCAACATCCAAAGTTATAGAATATGCAGTTAAAATTTTTAATTGCGGTCGTCTTGCGGCAGGAACTGCTTCTATAGCATGAACATTAGAGCTCCTCATAAGATAAACGGAGGAGCTTAGTTTAAATTGTGGGTCTCTCCATTTGACGGAAAAACATCAAGATGCAAAACCACAAATTAGGGAGGAGTTCGGCTGACAATCGGCGGTTAGAAAGCTCTAGTATGTATATATACTATATATATTGTTTCAAGGACTAAAATTTGTTGAAAACATTTTCATTGTTATAACTATTTAGTTTCTTAGGTCACTAAATTCACTATGCCTTTCTGCACTTAATTCTGCAGTTTAGTATCCGCTTAAGAAAGAGGAACTAGTTCAATATACATACATACATAAGTATGCCTTATGTATGCATAATAGAACCTTATCTAATTAACGTGTGCCGTATGCCAGCTTTCGTGGTGGTTTTTTGCGGCGACTATAAAATACTCGATTTATTTATGAAATAAGTGTGTCATAAAAATGCGTCACCGCATGCTCTTGGGAATACGAACTTTTATACTACTACTACTATACAAACAGTCGCAATCAATAGTTACCGTATTAGTATAAGATAAAAAGCACGTTTACCTCACGCAAACTTTCAGAGATATGTCTCTGTGTACACACATGCACACATAAACTTATATTTGGTTTGAGGCACATAAGTTAAAAGAAAAGGTTTCTTAGGTTTTATCAGGCGGGTAGAAAAACATATACATATGTATGTATTTAAACTAGGGCATACCTTGCATCTCATTTTCAGGCTAAAATGTAATGTGCGAAATTTCTAATGGATCACCCTTTGATTTCGAACTCGTAAATATGCAGTTAGAATCTTAAAAAAACTTGGCGATGCGCTTACCCTGTACTTAAAGTCATGGTAAAAGTTAGTTGAAAATTTTCTGGCTTGGGATTATGTCGTAGGGAGTATGATCACGTGATGTGTTGATAGCAAGAAAGATTAATACAAAATACTAAGCATTAATCGTCGAACTTTCATATTTATTCTCTCATGAAACTTAGTTTTGAGTGAAGCAAAATATTTAGGAAGGAATAAAGGTTTCAGCTCGTCTTTAACAAAGTCTTGATAAATTTCGTTTCAAGTTTTTTGTTTCTTGATAGTTTTTAGATTCTACAAAATCGAAATTTTTTTCTGTTATTTTTTTCTTTTTTTTTTGAAAAAAGTCGGATACTCTAACATTTTAGCGATTTTAAAGGGCTGTTAAAAAATATATTTTTTATTTTTAAACTTTCATGAAAGTTCATGTTCTAATTTCATTTTGAATAAAAGCTTTGATTTAGATGGCCACCTATGTTTCAGCCCATACCAAAGATATTGAATTTATTATATATTATATGTATTTATTTACTTACATTCATGAGCCACGGATGATTAGGTCCTGACTGGAACAAAATCTCACGATTACCGCTTCCCGCTGAATCCAAATTTATAACAGCCCTTTGAATTTCAAAAATTATGGCAAATTTCAAAAATATTTACTAAAATGTTTCTAAAATAATTTACTTGCAATTCGTAGCCCACTTGTGCTGTGTAATAAAACCGTGGGAGGCCTGCAGAGGATTCTCTTCGGCACCATTAAATAAAAATATAATGGGATGTTTGAAGGTTTGGCTAGTGGTGGCGAGCACACGTAAAGTCTCAAGCATTATTACAACCATGGTACCGTCATCACCAGCAGCTGTGGAAATGAATAAAATACGTGTACATATACAATTTTAAGCCTCACACATCTCTTAGCTTTCTTTTTCATTTACCTGGACTACCGGGTTTGGAATCGAAGTGACTATTAATTAGCAGATATGATTCACTAGTCGACGATTTCGATCGAAAACGTACCACAACATTTTGTACTCCCTGGTACATATTCACCATAGTCCAGTGAATATATGCGCCCGAAACAACTTGCAAGTCCACCTCCAAGTCGAAGAGGTCATCGCGCATAACACTCTTTATCGCCCCCAGTTGATCGAGTAAAAATTGTACGGTGTGATTTTCATTTGCATGACTTCCCACCACCTTCGGTCCGATCTTTTCGAAATCTGCCAATATACGTTCGGCACGTTCAGCTATGAATTTACCACGATTTGATGCTTCATTTTCGATAGTAAGTCCAGTGGGAAGAGAAAAGAAAATCGGTATGACCACTGCAAATATGAGGGCAAGCCAGAATAATAAGAAGGGTGGCGCAAAATACCATGGCACCTTGGAAGCCTGCTTTTTATGGTAAGTCATTTCGTCCGCGGCCACTTGCTCTTCATCCGGTGCAACCTGGTGGATAAAGATGATATAAAGAAAGTAGTTTTCGGAAAAAAATACCGGTTGTTAGTTTGATTTTATGTAAGTTTTTGGTCTGAAGAAAAAAAGGAAGTATGTCCAAATGGAATTGGAATATTACTATTATATTAGCCAACGTAGTTTTAGGAACCGTTTTACAGATATTATAAATCCAGACTAAATTTCATATAATGAGTTCGCGCAAATATTGCGGGAAAAACAAAGCGGACCTTTATTTGCACAATCAGCTTGCCTTCCGCACAAGAAGCATCCAACCGCATTTGTAGCTCCACGTTTGCCTATTTCTTTCATAGATCTATGAAAGCCTTTAACTACATTGCATAGCCCGCGAAAACTTTCAAGCCAAATCCCCACGTGCAGCGTGTACTTTGCTTTACAAAATGTACGAAAATTTAGACGGATCACAGAAGTCTGCGCATGATGAAATCAAAACTCTACTTCACTCTTTATAAAAAACTTTTCGCACTTTTTTAATAATTTGATTGATTTGGTCCTTGCTTAACTTCCTTAGAGTAATTAAAAAAAATGTTTCAGTTGGTGAGATATCCTTCAATTTAACTAAATTAAAAATAATTGTGTCTTTCTTCCTTTTTAATTTAATATCCTTACCACTTTTCCGACATCCTTTCCCGCTATCTTCACTTCTTCCTCTGACATTTTCCTCTACAGTTTAAAAGTACTGCTATAGATGGACTAAGAGACTTTTTTGGTGTGTTCCTCTAGACCAAAATGATACTGGTATTTAAACAAATCTTCGCTGTACAGAAGAGTATATAGTCGACGATGTGCGATAAAACAAAGATAAGCCAGCGCATGAACATATGTACATTTTCAAAATTCATTAGTGAAATTACTGGGTAATATTTGAAGGCTTAATATATGGTATGTATAATAAAACCAACAAAAAAGATATCATGCCAAGTATTATACACAACGCGTTAATCCTTGCAGCAAAAGATCAAAATACATTTTTATAGAAAATAATTTTTTAAAAATTTTACTTGCAAAAAGAAAATAATTCGCAAATTCTTTTAAATAATCGAAATTATTTTTTCACCCTCACTTTTCTACACAGCCTTTTGCCTTTTAAAGGAGGATAAAATACAAAGTTTTTAAAAGTTTATTATGACAATAAACAATTTGGATATTGAATGGTAACTTTTTATTTTTATTGTTTGTAATCAGAACTCCATATTCTTTATGATGCCTAGTATAGTACTTAGAAACAAATTTATTTTTAGCAATCAGGGGTGTTATAGAAACAGATTTCAAAAAAAAGTTCATTTCAAGGGGTTGCATATTCCTATTATTGATTTGCATATTGGTTTCATGGTCGAAAGAGTAACCGCTTTATTTGACACTCCATTTCTTTTTGTTTACATTATTTAACATTTATTTATTTATGTGTATATATTGTACGCACATAAAAAGTGTTATTAAAATGGTTTCGCTGGTAAAAGAAGAAAGAATGAGCTATATACCGCAGAAGAGCGGCAAGGATATTCAAAACTCAAACAAAAGTTGGCGTTACAGATGAAGTTGTAAAAAAAAGTAAAGTAAAAAAGTAACTCAAACAGAAGTGGATGTCAAATGAAACACATGAAGTTTGCGGCAATAAAGGCAGTGGCAGTGAATTTAGAATTAGAGCTAAGCTGAGCAGTACTGCCAGGTGCCACTGCTGCATTGTGTGACGCTTCATTGTACAGCAGGTTACCTAAAAAACGGCTGATTTCGAAAATTGCCACTGCCCTAATGCATTTTGGGCTTTTGTGTCGATTTTAGGTGTTACAGGAACCGATTTATCAGTTTAAATGTCAAAATTTAACCGAGTGGTTATTCGTTGACAGAATTGTGTGCAAACTTCTTGGCAAGCGGAAATTTAATACAAATGTAAGTCATGAACTGGAACATCATACTTGATGTAAAATTGGGCAGGAGCTCTCCGTTCTTCAGTGTCATTCGTTCCTAAAATTCTCCAGCGTGGGCAAACCAAACGTTCAAAGGCCTTTAGCACGTCTCTTATAATCACCAAGACTGAAGGTCGCGCTAATGAGATATTTGTGTCCCACAGACGGTTAATAGGAGCCTTCTGCCAAAAACCGCAGTGTGGCTGCAAGTTCAAGCACAGGTGGGATAGAGAGCCTATCTAACTTGTCTTCAATGACATTCAGCACTATTTAAAGAGCGTCTTTGTTAAGACCATATTCGACTATGAATCTACATACAAACAAATTTTGGGCCAGCATTTGCAAAAGTATAATACAAATTGCACTTACTTTGATTCTGACAGCTCCAGCCGATATTTTTAGATAGCCACAGTAAAAAATATCAGATGAATCATAGTTCCCTCTGATTTCATCATACATATTGTATGTAAGGAGATCGATATATATGTACAAATTTATATATTTTATAAGGCGTGCCCGTGTAAATCTTTACCGTGCCTATAAAGGAGTTCAAGCTATAAATATTTAATTGAGTTGTAAAATATTATGTTAAGTTCATTATTGCGATATTAAAAATTTGATTGCCAATGTAGTGGTATTAAGCATGGAAGGGTAATGGTTCTGAAAAGTTGCTAAATTAGAGACCTAACAGAAGATGTACCTCGACAATGGTTCTCATAAAAAACAATTTAACTTTCAAAAGAGTTTTCCATAAGTCAGTTAAATTGCTAGCAGCGCCAATATCAGCGTCTTCGAATTAGGTTTCTGGATTTGGCAAAAAGTCATTTAGGAACAGAGAAGCTGGCTCAGCAGGGCGTATGAGCGACGTTGTGCTGTCCGCGCTTTACATATCACAAAATGTGCTAAGTGCGAAATTTTATACTTTCTCAGGCAACAAGATTCGGTTTCATTTGAAACTTATTCAGCCAGGGTTTTTGGTATACAAAATCTTTTTTTTTTTTAATTCACATTTGACGGATCCAATAAGACGATCAATTTTTAGAATCTCCCGAGTAACGAGTTTCAAGTGATTTTGAAAAGAAAGTCCTTATGCACAGAGTTATATGAAAAATAAACGTAGAATCCTCATAATAAAGTTGTTTTGCTCTACAGGTGCTTTATTTTGGCAAATGGAGAATGTATGGGATCCACTTTTGTAATTTTTTATAAAAAGTAGTCTGATGGCATATTTGCTTATCATAATTGTATTTGGTGCCAGACGTTGAGCAACAACAACGCATGTCAATAAATGAAACTATCTTCAAAACTTTGTATAAAGCATCCGAGTACATTATTGTATTTTTTCGTTTTTTTTTTTATGGTATTTTGTATTTCGTAGTTTGCCAATGAGCAATAAAAATGCGATTTAATATTTTTTTCTTCTCGTCGATTTTATTATTTGTTATAGTAAACGTTTTTTTTTACGTTTGCAGATATATGTACAAGTGTGCACGCACGTACATATGCCCATTTACTGTTTCACTTCTTACACTTCTTTCATATCGTTATATGATCCAATAAATGTACCAATATTGCTTAGATTGTGTAATTAGCGCAGTCTGCGTACGCTTATATCTACATATCGTATGTACACGTATGTATGCTTACCTTCCGTTTCAAAGACCGCTTAAAGTATATGCAGGGCACATAGGTGACAGAATCACGTAGACCGTCGCGATTCAACTGATGTTGCCACCAAAGGCGGAACGAGCTGAGAGTTAACATTTTTATATTACAATAACAAAAATCATAACACATAAATGAAACTATAGATCAAATGGAAGAGGCAGAGCTGAGCACGCAAAGCTAAGTGCTCTGGTGCTCTTCTTTGCGCTGATAAAGCTGCAGCTGATCCAAGTGTAAATAGTTTATAGTACGGAATTTCTATTGTTGCTATTTTGGTTTGTTAATCTGCATAAATTTAAGCCCAAGCTCTCTGTACACAAGAGAGACCCGGGATTTATTTGTACACACACATGTACAGGAGGGCTTCTATTGTAGCTACCATATTTGTTTGTATTTTTATATCGAAATTATTCATGTGCTCACTTGCGCTTTATTATCTATTTTATAAAAAAAAAGCTATTTTCATTGCCTTAGGAAATTCACTGCACTGAATTTATAAAAACATTCGAGCACGCGCTGTCATGGTCTTCCAAGTTGCCGGCTACCGACTGAGTAACAAGAAATCTGTACCCTTAAATACTTAAATAAGCATTTAATATTACAAATATTATATTTACTATGCATAGGCACCTATGTACACACATAGCTTGTAATACTTGTATGTATACATGTAGATTTAAATGAATATTTTATTGGCAAATAATAATAGCCCCAACAAACCTTAAATAATGCTTAATTAGAAGACTGATTAATATATTTATAATATAGTATTTATATATATATATATATAATTGGCGTTTTGTAGCCGATGAAGTGATTTTCGGCCGAGCTCCTCTTTTAACGCAATTGGAAAAATCGCTTTTCTATAATTTCGGATGTTGGTCGAAACAGGACTCGAACTCTAGCCGCTCGAATGTTAGTACGCAACGCTCACCACTCGGCTTTTGCGACCGCCAGAATGCTTTATAGTAACACAATTTCATATTTAAAGCCCTTTTAATATATTTTTAAATTAATTTATACATACATATGCACATATAAATATATTATACATACATACATATGTTTATGTGAACATTTTATATTAGTCTTAATAGTTTTGTACTAATACATAATGTGTTTTGATTTAATTTGATTCACTGCTTAGCTTAATTTAACGTCCCAGGGCTTTTGTCATTGTCGCTAAATGTAATAACATATATGTATATACGAGGTGTGATCAGAAAATATCCGTTATTTTCAAATTTCTTGAGTTACGTATTTCCGATCTCGGAGGGATAATAATTAAGGTGAGATAATTATTAAGGTGACTTCTGAAGTAGAAAATATAAAAAAAAAAAACATATTAAACTTGGTGCTCACATAATTTGCAAACTAATCAATCCTTTAGCGCCCTCGTTAGCTGGTAGTGCTATGAAGGCAAGGAAAAGGTATATCAGGCGAATTAAAGGAATTATTACTTGACCCCAATAGCCGAGTGGTTAGCATTGCGTACTTTCTCTTGCGTCACATCACTGGTATGTGCGGCACCGCGGCGGGGATTGTCAAGCACTCCGAGCGTATTTCAGGCTTGAAAATTAAAGCTCCTCATAAAAATCCATAGGCCGTTCGGTTGCGGCTTGGATTTGTAACCGCTGATAAGCTTATCAACTTCAGTATTAACCACATCAATTATCTCCTCGTTGCTATTAAAAGAAGCGCCGCAAATCGTCTTGCTTCCGGTTCTCCAACAAATTTTTTAAAACCTTTGGTAAGCACTCTTTGGTGTACCATTTTGCAGTTACCGTCTGACCCTTTTCCAGTGGAATACCAGCTACGATTTTAGATCGGCAGTAACGGCTTCATTAAAGTTGCTAGACTGACCATTTTCGAATTTGTTTAGGAAAAATTGAGCAAAATGCACTTGATCCTCTTTTTGGGCCTCATTTAAAATTCCTGGTACCCATCGAGAAGACTTCTTCGTGCATCCCAGATTATTATTTATTATTAACTATTTGCGATACAGCCATGGCATTCAAGACCAATTCATTAGCAATAAATAAAAATAAAAAATAATTAAAACAAAGTTAAAAAATAAAATTTCTTGTGCCAACCGTGCGACTTCACTAGAGCTACAAACACGTCATCAGTTACAGATTTTGGTCGTTCTCTGGGCTCACCCTCTATGGAAAAATATCCGGTCTGGAGTTTTCGGAACCACTTGGCAACAGTCTTCAATCGTTCCATATGCAAATTCGGGTTTCACTGAATAATTGTATTGTCTGTAAATTAGGCCGAAACCCGATCAGATTCACATGGCAAATTTCTGTTTGCGATGGTTGTAGAGTTTTTTCTACCCTATCCTCAGCTATTTTGCGTTTTCTCGTATCCAATTCAATCGATCGTTCTAAAATTTGAAAGGAAGACTAATAAAGCAATTTCAAATGGTTTAGAATTTTTAGATTTAACAAAAACAAATTAAAAGTCATCAGCTGAACAAACTTTTGTTGATCTCTTCATATATATTAGTTTACAAATTTCCTATTTTTTTGTTTACACTTTTTGTCCATCATAAATCCATCAAAACAACCAACTATCGTAGGTCGCCAGCCAATTAACATTCGTGGCATAATTCGGTAAGCTCTCCAAGAACTCTTCATATATCTTCACACGATTTCCAAACTCTGTGTATTGGTATTATTTGAGTGACACTAGGATAAATACAAATAAATTTATTGGAGTTAACTAGATGATCCTTCTGTTAGTATCAAATTTCATACCTCTAGGTCTATGAAGAACTCAAATGCATCATTATTTTTGCCGTGTACAAAAGTGAAGACAAGCCTCTTTCTGCTCAGTATGGTCTTGTCAAAGGACCAATTGATGATTTTTGCAGAAGTTTTCGGTTCAATAAAGAACATCATGTGATCTGGGCCGGTTAGTGTATAATTATACCGCACCGTATTCGGTGTATTCATAATTGTTTTGGCTGTTAGTGTTAGTACTGGTCTCTCGTAGGGTATACCCGGTGGCTCATTGACGGGTAACCACAAACTGTTTGGTGTATAGAAAATACTAAAAGCAATAAAGTGATTAGTGAAAAACATTACATCTTTGTAATAATATTGTGCCGGCGCCACCGACAACAATTTCTTTGATTAATTGAAAGAAAAATTGATTAAGTATGCAAATTGTACAATGCTTTCGCTGAAAATGTCGAGCGTTCTCGAAGTTAAGTGAGACTGGAACCCAAAGGTGTACATGTCAGAAAGTAGTGAGACTTGGGGGAAAATATTTTCGACATAACCCCGAGTGCTCTAAGTCTTATAGAGAATATATGAAACCTGAAGGAATCGTTCCGGGTAAAATTTTCTCCTTCAACTGTCAGTGGGACCAACTTCAATGTATGTCCTATCCAATACAAAAATATTTTTCAAAATCGGACAATGTTGTAACGGTATAAACGGGATAATAAGTGGAAATCAATGAATATTGCCGCCTTTCCCAAGCCTCTGCTTAAAGTTATCTTCCGCCAATCGGTAGGAGCAATTTTAAGCTATTTCCTTTCAAATAAAAACAAAAATGAAAGGCTCTCTTTGGCCATGCCAAAGTCTTCATTCCTTTCATCTCCATATAAAATTTTAAAAATCGTTTGAAGTGGTCTTTGCGATGAAGTTTTCGGATCGCAATGGTTTTCGGTGTTAATGTTTATAGTATATAGGTGTGTACAAAACCAAATGTCATGCTCTTAGTTGCATTTTACGGATTTCTCACCCGAAATCATATATCTGAAGAAAAAAACGGTAAATGGGAGAGTGTACATAATACAAGGTTTCACGTTCTTAAAAATTTTTGACCCAAAGTCTCAAATCTCAAAAATCGGTCGAATATATGCATTTCTGAAGAACAGTGTTCGAAATCTGATGTTTAAATCCACCAGTGTATCTGTGTACCAAGCTTGTTTGAAATATTTCAAACTTCTCTTAAGTCTGTTAAAAATAGTTCCAACCAACCTAGGTCTGTCTAGTTGACAAGTGGCTTCATTATTGCATACAGTGCTGGTTTCATGAGCTGCTTTAAACTTGACGATGACTTCTGAGAAATAAAATAAAAAGATTTCAATTCAATCCAGAAAACTTAATTCTAAAAAAGTGAGAAACTGAAAACCTTCTGCTATATCAATGTGTCTGTCCTGTTGATATAAATAAATCGCCGACTCATTCGAACGGATACTTCCATCTGCATTGTGATATAATTGATTGGCGTGCTGTAAAGGAAACGAAATCGGATTTCATGTTCAGCGTTTATTAAAATAAATAGTTCACTTTAACAATAGTAATTTAATCGATCGAGATATCAATGGACTCAAAGATTTGTTGTCTCTCATTTATTGAGCACACTTCTAGGCGCAACATTTTAAATTATAGTCACTAGATACATACATACATATATTATTATATATGTATTTGCATGTTAAAGTTGTTGACTTACCTGAACCGTATAACGTTGTGGTGCTAATTTTGGTGTATATGGTGTGCCTATTGGTCTAATGGCCAAAATCATGAAAAGTATTGCTACACCCAGAGAGCAGAGTATTATCGAACGGGTTCTCCGGAATAACAAATACAACGGAATCTGGACATAAAGAAAGATATAAATAATTTTCATAAAAGGTTGGGGAGAGGCTTTATTTAATCTGGTGAATTAGCAGAGCCAGCTACATAGGGTTATCCATTTCGTGGTTTCGTATAAAGCTATAACCTTGACATTTTATGTGAAACACTCCAATAATCGTGTCAGGAAGTTATGCGAAATTCGATCGGTTGAGGTAATTTTTGCTTGCTTTTGGTACATGTTGGGCGGTATCTCAGCCATGACTTGACGAATACTGGTTTCAAGTACTCAAGCATATATACACGTTGTTAGTGGTCAGCTGACGTCAATTGTCTTGAAAACGTCGAAAAACAAACACATTCGGGTCTTCGGCTACACTTTCACTATCTTTCACCGATCCACTTTTTTCGAATTTATTTAAAATTTTACTAAGTACGTGCAGAACGATCTTCTCTTAAGATACGCGATGTGAAGTTGTTAACCGATTTAATTTCATGAATGTTTGACAGTTAAGTTTGACAGATATGAAAATACAGCCTTGTCCACGCAATGGATAATCTTATGCAATATATATATATATATATATATATAAACAAATAACTGTACAATAAAAACAAAAATAGTTTCGTGGCTTGATTGCTTGTTTTTTAGGTTAGAATGATCTTACCAAGAACCCACTGAGCAAAATTGCAAAGATAACGGCTATTAAAGCAATTAATAAATCCGGGTTTGAAGCGCCACCATTTCGACCGGTTACAGGTATAAAGATAAAGTACAAATACTCTGCTACATATGAAAAGTACAAGAACGGAACTATTTGACTAACTATGACAGGAATGGCAAACCAAGAACCTGCACAAAAAATAAAAAGAGACGAAGGAAATTTAATTGTATTCAAATTAATGTTTGCTCATTACACTTACCCTTATTGTGTAATTGCGTAATCAAATTACCGATCAGAGCTGCGGCATAAAAGAATACCGCCACCATAAACATGAAAGCCGAACGTATATTTAAAAATGTCAGAGAAATCGTTAGAACTATTAGAATGAGACAATGTGAGTGCAAAAAGAGTTGTATGCGAAGGCCCAAAGGAAGCGCGTACTGTACATGAAGAAGAGCGCAGAGAAGAAAAAATTGAGAAAAATTGTTTAAAAATACAATTGAATTGATAATTAGAAAACTTACCTTCTTTGTATATTCGAGAAAACCTGCCGGCAATATGCCTAGGAAGAAAAATACGGGGCAAAAATAGAGACCGCAGATTAACCAGTTGTTAGAGAACCACGTCATAGAACAACCAATGACATCCATAACGTATGAAATTAAAATCGAAAAGCCAGCGCCCAGCGCAAGTGAGAGAGTTTGTATAAACGTAGTAAGCATGAATTGGGCGACGATAGCAAGCAAGCTGAGATCAGCTCGTTTTGATATCCAGCAAAGCGAGATCACGATCGCAATTAAAGCTGCCACGCAAACCAAAATGTTAACGATAAGGTTGGTATTCATTGTATAGTGGACCATAAACCAGCCGAGAAAATCAAAGAAAATGAAATGCTCCATATTTCCATAGTTATTCTATTTGAATTGATAAATATGTTTGTTCTTGTAAGATTATTATTATTAACGTGATGCAGTTAAGCGTGTAATCCTCAGATATATAAGACAGCTGCAACGTACTTTTATTATTTGTGTAACCTTAAAATTTATTGCTATAATCTAACACAAAAGCTCAAGTTCGAAGTTACTTATTTAATCAACGATGGTTTATGCGACTGTGGACTGCTAAGAGTACAACTAATACGGCTCGTTCCCAAAAGATGGCTCCACCGGCAAGTTGTGGCCGAGCTTGGAAGTGGCTACCTATTTCATCGGATAGGTTTCCCATCTGTAAACAATAATTAGAGTACATACGCTCGGCCCCACGGGGCTGTAACCTGAAACTACCTGGAAACGCTGAGACGGACCGAGAACAGAGAGGACCCATTTCTTAAGGATGGTATTGAAAAATTACCGGAGAGATGGTCGCTTCTTGTCCAATAAAAAACACTTTTTATTGGCTTTTCGTTATTAGCACATTTCTCTGAATAACCGAGAGAAAATTTAGTGCAAGCAATTGCAGAGAAAATTTTTTATCTCATTTGTATCTATTAGTGGTAAGCCGTTTCAAATTTGAATACTTTTGACACGTTTGTGAATATTAATACTTTATGAGAACATGCAGCTCATTGCGTGGAGGCCTTCCCAGGTGAAAGCATTGTGCTGTATTATTATTCTCGAGCTTAAAGTTAAAGTTTGAACATAGCAAATACCTTAAGCCCACGATGTAGACTTTGCATAGAGCTGAACTCTTATGCAATAACTGAGAGTCATCCTTCATTTAGATCCACTACTTACTATATTACGCATTTCAGGCGCATTCCCCAAGGACTTCGCCAGGCTTAGCACATTATCACCAGTGTTTTGAAGGGAAGCTTTAGGATAAACTTTGAAGCTATCGAATTCCGTGTGATAAACATAACCATTTTGAATATATGCCATATCGAAACCTGTGAGAATGAATAAAATTTAAATTGGTGACTTATTTACTCGTATACTCGTATTTGCAAGCATACCTTGCATTCCGCCATAATCACGAAAATTACGAAAATCTGTAGCAGATGGCACCAAACCAAATTGAAAGAGCTCCTCGAGCACAGCATTAGCGAATGGGTGTGTCACCTTGCTGTAATAGTTCATCAACCAGGAGCTTTCAGAAATGGATTGAAAAAGTATTTCGCGGCCCCCCGAACCAGCAGCGTCCAGATTGATAATTACCCTTTAGGAAGTATTGACTGTGAATCTTAGAGACTTTTCTATATTTTGTATAGAAAAACTCATACTTGCAATTTTTGGCCCATTTGTGTTGGGTCGTAAAACCATAAGACGCCAACAGACCATCCTCTTCGGCGCCATTGAACAGAAAAACTATAGGATGCTCGAGAGGTCCCTTCGAATTCGCCATAACTCTTAATATCTCTAACATTACTGCAACCATGGCGCCATCATCGCTGGCCCCAGGACTTTTCGGTGTACTGTCGAAATGCGAATTTATGAGTAAATAATTTGTACTTGTATTATTTTTGGCACTCAATTTGGCTAAAATATTTTGTACACCGTGATATAAGCTTGTGTGCATATATTGACCACTGACCACTTGTAGATCCACTTCAATATCAAAATAATCTTGGTTCATTTCATTTTGAACTTTAAAAACTTGGTCTAATATTAAGGTCACCGCTTCCACTTCATTTGCTTCACTACCGACTACCCTAGGGCCGAGGTTGGTTAGGTTTAATAGTACATTCTCAGCTCGCTCGGTAATGAACGAATCTGCTTGAGTGAATTCATCTTGTAGTGTGAGAGGCGTGGGCAAATGGTTGACTTGCTGGAGCACTACGGCCATGTACAGAAATTTCCAAAAGGCTGTGAAGCATGGCGCGTAAAACCAATCGAGCTTCTTATGTTGCACGTGCAGTGGTGCTTGTGTCTACATATCGAGAGTTGATCAGAAATAATTTTACAAATTAAGTTTTATATTTAAACAATATTATTATTATTATATTATATTAAATTTTCACATACTCCCATTTTTTATCCCGAGGGGCAGCACTTTCACTGATCCTTATATTAGGATTATTAAAGCTTTTTATTTCTTATCACTCAGCTTTGCTTACTTTCCTTCGAAACTATTTGACCAAAATAATGCATTTTAATGAGAAAACAGCAACAGCCACTCCCAAAGTCTTAAAGTTCTCAGATATTATTGAAAAAAAAACAACTACAATTTAAGCTTCGTGGGTTGTTGTTTTCACAGAGAGATCCAATGGAAGTATTTACGTTTCCTGCCAAGGAACAACTCGCCGAAAACTCGAAACACTATGGTTATACTACGTATCTGTAGATGAAGGGGCAGGGAAAAGTTATTATACGGATTATGTATTTACTTTCTTTTAAAAAATCGCCGGGTTCCTTTGGGTCATCACAATATTACATTCGGAGGGTCTTAGTGATTTACTTCCAATTAGTAAGTATTTCTGCGAGAAGAATAATATTTGTTTTTCATCTAACGAAAAAGAGATATATAATTTCGTTACTACACCCTTTGATATACATACATATATTTACTTAACCGGAAATTTTTTCCGAAGAGGGTATGTGAGTTGTTACTTGTTAACTTTTATCAATCAATGATAATCCGTGCTCTTAACTTGAAGTTTTTTTTTTTTTTAACAATTTTTAATGATAAATAAAATATTTTGGTTAAAATATTTTCTGTCTTGATGATATTAGCTGGTTTGTTTGTTTTACATTAGATCATTCGAAGTGAAAACCCGTATTTAGCTTAACACCATAAACTACAATTCGGACGAAGCATTGCAAAAAAGAGAAAATTGGTTTTTTGACAGATTTTTTTACTTTGAAAACTGATCTTCTCTAGACTGTACATCTGAGACTTCTATTCAGATGGACTTGAAGTTAATATATCCGAGATGTTGTAGAAATGAATAAAATGACAAAATTTTAAATTTTTCTGAACTTTCAATCAAAGAGCTTTGAGGATTCAATCTCACATAACTAATTTAGTCTTTTGATATTGTATTTCAATACACCACAAGTGTATTAATAACTAAGTTTATTGTATTGTGGAAAGTATTTATTTATTTATTTATTTAATATTTCACTTTCTCAATGCGCTGCTTCACGAAGATCGAATTCTCCCACTACACCACTCACGGCGAAATGAAACATTGATGAATAAGTTCTGAAGTTTTTAGTTGGTTTAACATATATTTTGATTATATATGTAAATAGTAGAGCGATAGCAGTGTGACTCTCAAAATCACGAGTTATTTGAAATATTACTTGATTTTACTAGCCACTTGTAAAATCGATTTCAACCATAATCATTGATACTGATACCAAGCCCCATCGTTATTACCGTAAACTTATGAGCGATAACGTTCAAGTGCCATCACATGTTTGGAGTAAATACTTTGCTATTATTAGCTTCCTCAAGAAAAAAGTAAGTTTGTATATGTGTTTACTTTGTCTTTACTGATTTTTTAATGAATGAATTAACCCATTACTTGCAGGGAAAATATTTTATAACGTTTAGAACACATTTAATTTTCAGCATCATTGACAAAAATCATCGACGTATTGCGGAAAAATAACAGTGCAGATTTGAGAAATTTTTTTGTTGAAGGAAAATTGATTTGCATTGAGTAATTAATTAATTTCAACACTTTATTACTATGTACTTTTAAAAGTACAGATTTTCCTCTGCTTGCTGAAATCATTGTATAATATATTGTATACTGTAATATATGTATGTACAAATTTGAAATAATTTGCAAAGACCCTTTATAAGATTCTTTTATTTGTTACGACTGTTGCCGTTTATATTTCGGATTACAGAACAAAAACAAATAATCACCGAAAATCGCTTTATTGTTTTTAAAAATATTTCTCATTAAGATTTATACCGATTTGCATTCGTTTAAGCCGATAGCCGAAGCATCAGCCGTTGATTCAGATGTCGAAAAACGTTGACTGCTCAGGAAGAATTCAGTGCAAATGTCAGGACAATACGCTGGATGACTCATCAAATCATTGTTTTGAGTGCTCAAAAATGCTGTTGCTTCAGTCGATGTGTGAGGGCACGCATTATCGTGGTGAAAAGTGATTCTTCTTTGTCGGTTGTCTTGCTGCTTTCATGAAATACAGCTGGTCGCACTAATGCCTATAGTTGACGATAGATCACATGACGATTTTGTAATATCAATTTGGGCGACCTGCACGAAATTCGTCTTCGATTCGATGCTCGTCCTTGATCAGCTTCATCGCCAAAAATGGAATTAAGTACACAGGTCCGCTGCTGCTGAGCTAGTCCGTATCGAAAGTTGTGAAAAGTAATAGAGCGAAAATGTTCGCGATTTAATTCCATTTTTTGCCGAGATGATTATTGTGAGTTATTCTGAGCTATACAAATAGCGCTCGTTTATCCAAACGTTCCGAGTATGTTTAACTTTAAAAATGTCAAACTTTGCGACAAAATTGCCAGTTGACAGATTGCAATACCAGGGTTAGAATATTGGATAGGGCAAACTTTTGTTCATCTTTGTAATTCTTATTTGTGATCAATCATGTTTCACAACCGACGCTTTTTTGAAACTAGAAACACCTTTCCACACAAACAGTCTCAATATAATTTATTCATAATTTTTTTGTGAACAATATTTTTTTAATCGCTATAACTAAATTACGAGTATCAGTGCATAAATTAGAATACATTCAAATATTAATGCCTACGTGTATATACAAAGTACAATATACAATACACCGTACCTACGAGTTTAAATAATTTCTTAAAAACAAGAAATTTTCGTTTAACATAACGGGTATGTGTCCATGGTTTCATCAAAAGAGCCAGCTTTCATAGCTGGAAGCCCAGTCGGCGACAAAGGCGTAATTTGGAAAGCTCTGCACAAATTTTTCATATTCATCGGGGCGCGTCATCGACTGATGTATCCAATGACCACCAATACCGATTTCTATGTTTGATGTGTCCGCGGCTGGAGACTATAACAAATATAAAGGAATATGAATTCATGCTTAATTCTAATTAATTAATTAATTCTAGAGCTACCTTGAGCTTTACTTACAAATATTGATAAGCTTACCTCTACATCAATGAAGAAATCCAATGGGCTGCTATCTTTGCCGTATGAGTAGTAAATAAAATAGGGCGGTTCCCAATTCTCACGAAGCATGGTGTCATTGAAAGACCAATTAACAATTTTAGCCGACGATTTTGTCCCAATAAATAGAGTCATATGATCCGGCCCGGTAAGCGTAAAGTTATAACGGCGGATATTGCTTGCCTCCACATCGATTTTAGAATTTAAGGCTAACACAGGATCGTCACCGGGTATATTTGGTTCTTCATCAATAGGTATCCAGTAGCTGTACTCTCTATACATACAGGAAAGTAATATTAACGCATTTACAAGACCAATTTTATTACAATATCTATTTTTTTTTTGTTTTGGTAATCGTATGAGAAAAGGGGCGTAATTGGTATTAAATAAAAATAAACTCCTCGCAAACTAACTTTGCATTATTCCAACGGTGATTGAACACTGGCATGCCGCAGAAAATTTCATCGCTGCAAATATCGCTGACTTTGTACTTCACGCCGATGTTTTTGATGTTGTCTGAAATTTTTTAATTTGTGAAAATCGTGAAAAGTCCGAAAATAAGTATCATCTCACCGTCCGCTGTATGGACACGTCGATCCTGAGGGTAAATATATACTCCCGATTCATTGACGCGTGCAGAGCCATCTGCATTATGAAGTATGCGTTTCGCGTGCTGGGTTTACATTTAAGAGAGATCAATTTCAGTAAATACAACCACTGCTCTTTGCTATGTGTACTTACCAGTAAGGAGAAACGCTGCGCGGCCACCTTGGGTGCATATGGAAATCCAGCTGGTGTCACCGCCAGTATTAAGAAGACTATTGTAAGACCCAAGAAGCAAAGAATGATCGTTTGCGTTTTCCGGAAGTACATATAGAGTGGCATCTGCATGTATATATTAAGAAAATTCCGGATAATAGATATTTATATAACTCGTTTCCCGTTAGTTTTTATGGACTTACAATGAAGCCTGCGAAGAGGTAGGCAAAGAATATGGCAATGACAGCGATTAAAAGATCTGGATTTGTAGAGGATCCGGAACGGCCCGTCATTGGTATCAGAGTGAAGTAAATTTCATGCGCCGTTGATGTGTAATATATGAACGGTAAGATTTGACAAATAATAACGGCAAAAGCGAACCAATAGGCTGAGAAATAATAATTTGAAATAAAAAATATATCATATGTATGTATGTATATAAAAAACTATTCGTTTTTAAACAATTTATATACGTATGTATGTATGTATTCACATACATCTGTATATTTGGCGCTTTGTAACCACTGAAACGATTTTCGGCCGAGCTCATCCTCTAATTTGTGGTTTTGCGTCTTGATGTTTTTCCAAACAAATGGAAGAACCTACAGTTTATACTAAGCTGCCTCCGAAATGTCCAAAATACACTCGAAGGGGTTGAAATCCCCTGTCGAGGTGAGACCGCAATTAGAAAATTTAAATAAATTTCCTATAATTTTTGGTTGTTGGTCGTACCGACAGTTGAACCCGGACCATCCGAAAGGCAGTACGCAATGCTAACCACTCGGCTACTCGGTAGTAAAAGCTTGTTAGGTGTTCCAAAGAATGGTTGGTACTATTGTATGCCGACATTTCTTCAGTAGCAAGATTGATCCGGAAAACACTTTGGATGAAGCTCGTGAAAAAGGGACGCAAGAGACGGAGAAAATCGTCGTGTGATATTTCCAGCCAAGGTCCTGATGAATTCAGAGCACTTAGGCACTCGCATCGCCCCTAAGAGTCTAAGGTTTCGGCAGTGTAGTTCAGACGTGACAAAAGCTCCTGATACAAATCGCCTGCGACCAGTGACCAGAGATCGCAATCAGTATTTTAGTATCCACTTACCTTTCCTATGCCATTTTGTAATCAAGTTAATAATCAATGCCGCGATGTCAAAGAATACAGCCAACATGCACATAAAAGCTGAGCGGACATTAAATGCAGTTAGAGCGATTGTTATCAGAATTAAAATTAAGCAATGCGAATGCATGAAAAGTTGAATGCGAAAACCCAAACTTAAGGGATCCTGGTAAAGTGAAGAGAGAGTCATTGCGTTAAATATACGAGTAATTTATAATTTCTTAGAAGTACTCACCTTCTTGGTACGTTCCAAGAACAAAGCTGGAAATATGCCCATACAAAAAAATAATGGGCAAAAATAAAGACCACATATTAACCAGGTCTGCGTATACCACGTCATAGATCGACCAACACCATCCATAAATACCGCAATCGTTAAACTTATGGCTGCACCTAGAGAGAGTGAGAGTACTTGTACGGCGAAAGCTAGTGCGTAACGACGAAGAACTGGCAACCAACCCAGGCCCGAACGGGCTGACATGAAGAAAAGCGATACGCCTATAGCACAAAAAGCCACCACACAAACCACGGAATTAATAATGATGCTGGTGCTGAGCGAGTAGTAGATAATAAACCAGCCGAGGAAGTCATAGAAAACTACGTGACCAGTTTGACTTTCCTAAAAGATTGTAGAGAGTTAAATGGTGAAGACTAAATAATATCAGCACATAAAATTCACAAATAAGGTTAGGTTTCTACAAACCGATGGATTTTCCATTTCAGGTGCGTTAGCTATAGATCTGGCCAGATGGAGTACATTGTCACCAGTGTTTTGTAGCGAACCCTTCGTCAGAACATTGAAGCGATCAAATTGGGTATGATAAACATAGCCATTGTAAGTGTAAGCTATATCCAAGCCTAAAAGTGATGTAGTGCAAATTAGCCAAGTTTTTTGTTAGGGAAGAAATCCTTTTTGGCTTACCAGGCACGCCACCGTAATCGCGGAAAATTCGAAAATCTGTGTCAGATGGTATGAAATCATTTTGAAATAGCTCCTCAGCTACTGTAATCGCAAACGGATGTGGCACTCGACGGTAATAGTTCATTAGCCATGGGTTGCCAGGACCAGATTGAAAGAGTAGGTCACGTCCACCAGAGCCAGCCGCATCCAGATTAATTAAAGCCCTTAGTTTAAAAAAAAGATGTTTAGAAGTACGTATATTTCTCCATAGCTCTTCAACTCACTTGCAATTCTTGGCCCATTTATGTTGGGTAATGAAACCGTGTGAAGCCTGCAAAGGATTCTCTTCTGCACCATTGAAAAGAAAAACGATGGGGTGTTCTAGTGGGCCGTTGGATTTGACGATAACCCGTAAAACCTCTAACATTGTGGACACCATTGAGCCATCATCACCAGCTCCGGGACTTCCCGGCACACTATCAAAGTGCGCATTTATAAGCAAGTAATTTTCAGTCGCATTGTTTTTAGCGCTCAACTTTGCAACCACGTTCTGCACACCCTGATACATATTCACCATGGTCCAATGAATATACGCGCCGCTTACTACTTGTACATCGATTTCAAGCTCAAAAAAATCGCTCATTTGCTCTTTAACCTTGTTTAGTTCGTTAACTAAAAATTCCACGGCTTTTATCTCATTCGCTTCACTGCCCACGACTTTTGGGCCGAGTCGTCCCAAATTGACTAATATCTGTTCGGCACGCTCCGCTATGTAGGAGTCGGGATATTTGGCCTCATCTTGACGTGTGAGCGGTGTTGGCAGGCGACCAACTTGTGTGAGTACCACGGCAAGGTAGAGTATAACCCAAAAAGCGCTAAAAATCGGTGCAAAATACCATTTCAGCTTTTTTGGTACCTCAAAATCAACATCGACGTGATATTTGGATTTGAACTGAAAAAAGAAGGAGAGAAGAAACATGTACATACTCGTTTGTATATATCTATTTGTATATAATTGGCGTTCTCAAATCGCTAAAGCATTTCCGGCCGGATTTGCCCGTATGATTTTCATGCTTTCCAACAAATGACAGGACTTACAATTAACTCAAGAGGCCCAGGACTCGGTTTTATGATCCCCACTCGGCTATTGCGGTTGCCGACATGTTTTTATAGAAATCTATAAAATTATGTAACTCTAATTTCATGAGTCTGTTAGATCCCAAATCGTGAAAAAAGTAGTACACGAAACTAAGAAAGTATAGTTGGAAAAATTATTCAAATGTAACAAATTTTTCGAAATTTTAAGCTTCTCTGACGAACGATCACGAAATTCATGACACTCTTTCAATCTTAGATTTCTCTCACACGACGCATCGGTTTGAAGGCGAACGTCCGTGGTTGTTCGTATTACTTAGCGTTTAGGAAACGACTCGAATTGGATGTCTACTCAGACATACTGACACTTATTAAAACTTATGTTTATGTACATATGTATTATACCGTATATACTTTCAAGAGTTGGGGAAAATGAGTTTTAAATTTTTGTTAAGAGTTGTCATTAAGTGTTTCGTCATATGTTTCGTCATAGCTACTAGCCCATGCATACAATACATATACGTGTATATATGTAGTTGTACATAAGAATTATTATTATTAATTATGTGCACAGAAGTATACAAACGTGTGCACACTCGTACATAATCTTGAAAGTAATCCTTTATTGCTGGAATCAGTGGTTGTTAACAAGCGAGTGTGTGTATATAGCAACAACAATAATGAGCAATTTAAGCAATTAATCGTTTTCATAAGTACTTAATTGCCTACTAATCTAATCGACAATCATGAAGACGGAACGGCAGACAGCAACGTGTTTGAAATGCGAGTACGCACGATTTGGTCAAGATCAGCGCCGCCAGCGATAAGTAAAAGTTAAGGAAATAAATATATATATGTATGTGACTCTCTTCAACATGCCTATTATTGTTATTGTAGTTGTTGTAATTGTATTAGAGAGATCGTCGTTTAGTGCGAATTGTTCAATAGAAATTTGGCAATTTACATACACGTACATATGTATGAATGGAACCAAATCGTTTGCCGGCAGTGGCCATACAAATATCAAGAGGAAATTGTTTTGTTTCTACTTCTTTCTAATTTACGAAAATTCAAAACAATCAGATTTAATTGCTTATAAGTGCTTTAGATTCAAATATGATAAATGAGCACTGTTGGTGGCTATAATATGAGATCGGTTAAATGGAGCGCGGAAACCTAAATTTATTTCGTAATCACCAAATAGAAATTAAATATTTTTTAAATAAAGTTTGACTTTACTGTTCATGTGACCGTCATCAATTTGTCTATTACTTCATGTGTCAGGAACATAGCATTAGGGAAAACTCAAGTGACACGAGGTTCAGGGGACAGATTTCTAAGAACGTTTCTAGCTTAAATATATTTGAGTATCGTTGCCAGTCAGTTGTAGGAAAACTTATATACATATTTATATTATTCACTCCTGACAAAACCACAACTCAGCGGAAAGGAGTTCCTTCAACACGAAAAAATATTTCTTCATAGCCAAATAGAAAAAAATCAAAACATACGAGGGAGTGTTTTTATGCCCGCGGAGTCCCACTGCTTCGACTCGGGCTCATTACGATGAACCTACGTATTGTCTTCAGTAACAATTCGACCCAATACACCATGCGTCTCTTCATTACGGAGGGGAAAAATACCTGGCATGGTTATCACGATATTCACCGTTTCCATATTTCACTTTTCGCTCGAATTATATTGCCTGGCGGATGTTAGCTCATAGACTAATTGCCCTCTAACAATGAATTTTCGTATTTATACTAATTATGAGTCACTAGACACGTTACGATCCTAATGAGCATAATCACCCTTATGCACACCTCTCATTCCGGAAACATAAATTCGCTCCCTCGTATATCACTCATCAGAGAATAAGCTAGACAAAATTTTGATGTGTCATTACATGAATATATTTATACATATATTTATATATATAAAGGAAACTCATCCTTTCAAGTGTGGAATTTTCAATGCCTGTATATCGATTGTTACTTACACCCATATTTTCAGTGGAAAATATAAAATTTTTAAAGTGACTTCTCGATATCCTTGTACACAATAACACACAGTTCTTTTTAATTTGAAGCGGTAAAAATCGCGGTTTAATATCTGCAGGAATCAAATTTCTTATTCGTAGATGTATGTAGATGTACGTGTATGTACATATATTTCTATTTCAATTTATCATTTTCTCACATACGTTGCTTCCTTTATTTCAACACAAAAGACCTGAGATCCTTGACGATCTGCAGGCTTTGAAAAGATATGTAATTTATTCGATTTTTTAACACTTCTTTCGCGTTTTCCCACTTTTATTCCGCCTCTTACTAGTTAACGTCTTTCAACCACCGACTTTCACTTCGAATTGATGACTTGATTGAATGGAACTATGTTCAAATAATAAATCGCTTGGAAAAATAATAAGCGTGAATGGTCATAAAATAATATACTTATGTACACACGTTACATAAATACATATATGGGCGACATATTTCGTCTATTGTTGTTTGTAAAAATTATCTAAAAATTTCGATATCTAAAGCGATAAAACGCCAGCAATTAGCAAATGTACAAATTCACATTTCCATTTCATTTTTTGCAATTCCTTAATTTTTATTACGTACGATTTGATTAACTATTTCAAATCGATTATGATATTGATTCACTACACAATTTATAGTACGAAGTCATAAAACAATACACTTGTACGTAGACTTGTGGGACACTTTTACGAGTAAATGTTGGTATTTTCCTGTGTGGAGATTTTGATTAAAATTAAAAGTTTTTTCTTAACAATATCCTACTCTGAGATTATTAATATTTCTGTTTTACTTTATACCTTTGGAGATATGGAAGATAATGTGAAATTATTTTCAAAGTGCACCCAGAATCAGTTGCATCGGCGTTGCGCCTCGGTGGCCATGCGACAAAGAAATAAAATTACTTAAACAAAGAATCCGCAGTTTATCAAGCGGAGGCTGACACTGCCACACTGGAAAAAATATTCAAGTGATAGAATTGTCTGATTCATAAGACCTGCCACACGCTGTTGTGGCTTTCTGTGTTTTGTAGAATTTTTATTCTCGTTGATATTGCAAAGAATGACAAAAACCTCTTATCAAGCATCATATACGAGTAATACCAATAATAAGTCTTATTCATTATATTCCTCGCTACTCAAAGTCCGCTTGATCGTATAAGAATAGTTTAGACGCATTGCGCAGCGAACACACCTACACACGATAATTTTGGGGAAGACATTTTTTGGGTGGAAAAAATAGAGGTCGGTGATGGAAGGTGAAAATTTAGGGTTATATGTATTTTGTAATGTCACAAAATAGATGTTATGCTTTTGTCAAATTTCATTAAAATCACTCAAGCCGTTTCGGAAGAGCATCGTGTCTAACTCTGTGACACGAGAATTTTATATATTGTAGGCAACTGAGGCTTTATAACCGCAGAAACGATTCACGGACGAATGGGGAATTGGATTACAGACTTAAAAATCATCAGCTTTTTCTTTTCTCTTTTTGCATCAAAAGCTTAAAATAAAATCAATTGCTTCAATCATGTTTCTTCGGCGCTGTTTTTGCTTATAAACATTAAGATTTTTCTCTTCTCTCGCCATGAAAATGGCAATATAATAAAATGAAATTTATCTCTCAACCCGAAATTCTACTCACGCGCATAGCTCACGCAGTCCAGCACTAGCCACGAATGTATGTATGTACGAAGGTGGTGTTCTTTCGGAACTCCTGCAGTAGTGTGCAGATAAACCACTCGTTTTAAGACGCGTTTTCGAACTGACTGCCTGCAGCTGCTAGAAAACGCCAGAGGCGCCGCCATTCGTCATCAGTGCTTTCATCAACCATAAGTACTATGTATATATGTACGTGTATGTACATACATGAAAAGTAGTAAACATTATACAGATATAGCTGCATACACCCATAAATATTATACATTTGTTTATATGTATATGCAAGTTAAAACCGTGTTTTCAACTAATTGCTTGACTACATTCGGAAAGATTCCCTGTTAGGGGTCATTCATTATCGCCAGTATGCTATTATACAAATGTAGTATTTACCCAGCTACACACATATGTATGTATGTATATACCTATATATGTTTGGAAATTGAACTAGCCACTCCTCTAAATGTTTATAATGCACTTGTTTAGATTCATTTAATTATTGTCAAGTCGATTCAATTCTTCTTTTTTCTTTAATTTTCATCTTCTTTTTTTAAATTAATTTTGATTGTCGCTGGAAACATTGTGGAAACACAATTCACCTTTATACAGTTATACAGTTATACATATATACATACGTACACATTGTATTTATCTATGTTAGTAACTACTTATCTCCGCTTCTCTCACCCACTGTCTGCTCTTGTATTGTAGGTGTTGCATCATCGTATATTTGGTGTTGTTGTTATTTTGTTTCACGTTATTTGGCATCTGATTTTGTTTATTTTTTGAAATTTGGAAAACTTTCGATTTACTGCTACACACTCATAGTCGTACATACATATATAATTATTTATGCCATCAAATTTCAATGACCGTTGGAAGTATAATTGCGGCTGTGCAAATTACGTACATTTTAAGAATTTTAGCCATGCACAGTGGCGTTTTTCTGTTAAAAAGAACAACATTTTTATGAAATGTACATATATGTTAATGTTTACGTCATTGCCTGTTTTCGCTGCACGGCGCAAATTGGAAATACCAAGTATAGCCAGGTTCTTGACCAACTGGCCTTTTGAAGGAGTCGAGGTCCTCCTCTTCCACTGCTTCCACCGGCGGGTGCTGCAAAGATCTCATGACCTAGCCAGCGAATATCTCGGTTGCAGTATTAGTAGTTATAGATGTCACACGATAACGAATCACGTTGTTAGACGGGGCTCCTATTGTTGCTTAACATCAGTTTACACAGGGGGGAAAGCAAATCCAGATCTGTCAAAGGCTGCTTTTCCAAGATTTGGCGAATGGCGAATATCTGTATCATGGATTTTCCACGTCTAAAGTCACACTGCCAAGTTCAGTTTTTTGACGGAGCCCTTTTTGGCTAAGTTCCACTCCTCGGGCATGCTTTCATCCGACCATATTTTGCAAAGAAGCTGATGCATGCACCTTGTCACCGTACTCTACGGCCGTATTTGAATAACCAAAACACCAAAGACCTGCCTTCATGAATTATTTTTTACGAAAAGAAAGGGAATATATAACGTATAATAATGTTTGGGAAGTTATGTTTCTTATATTGAAATAAAGAAATAAAATAAGTATTGAAATAGAAATCCCTAATTTGTTTCTCTTTGAAATGCTGTAAAAGTTTTGAGATATATGCAGAGTGGCCCGGCCATTAGGCCATATTTAGGTTCATATTAAAGAAAATCCTCTGATGGTTAGGATAAAAAAATTTAGAAAAAATATTACACGCAATTTTTTCTGGCTGGAATTTCTTGCTGATTGGATTTCTTGCAGTTTGATTTCGATGTATTTAATTTCCAAAATTTTACTGGTAAGTACTGTGTGTATATTTAATATTGGTCAAGTAAAAAGTTCGTTCGGTTCTTTTTTTTTTATTGATTTTTCAAAATATGTCATTTGTCAAATATGCGCCGTTTTGTTCGTAAACTTGTTGCCAACGAAATGCCAACTCGCAAAAAACTCGGAAGCCAATTTTCGCAGGCCTCTCTTGAGGCCAACCTCTCGCCATTTAGCGCGTTCGCCATGGACAGGAAAAGATGGTAATCGTGGTTAGGACCACCCATCCGAGCTTCTGGCGCGTCACCGAAGACGTGTGTGGCCTGGCGTTGTCCTGGCGTTGTCCTGATGGAACACAATTCGGCCTCTGTTGATCAAAGATGTCCTCTTCTCGATGAGTGCTGCCTTACAGCGGTCCATTTATTAGCAGTAGAAGGCCAAATTGAGGGGAGCGGCTTCTAGTAGATGATTCCTTGCCAATCCCACCAAACTCCCAGCAAAACCTTCCTGGCCGTTAATCCGGTCTTTTCCACCGTCTGAGCCGCTTCCCGAGCTTTGATCACAACCGTTTGCGCTAGATGTAGTCGTAAGTGACCCATTTTTCATCGCCAGTCACAACCCGCATCAGAAACGGGTCGATTTTGTTGTGATTCAGCAGCGATTCGTGGATGGAAATTCGTTCCATCATGTTTTTTTGCGTTAGTTTCGTGTGGCACCCAAACAACGAGCTTCTTTTTGAATCCAAGGTTATGCAAATGGTTCCAAATGGTTTTCTGACTTATCTTTAGTTTCTCAGCAATTAAATAAGTGCTCACGTGATGGTCTGTTTCCATGATTTTATGGCAATTTTCGAGGACGCGTGGTGCATAATTGACATCGAAATTACCGGAACGGAACCTAGCAAACCATTTTTGAGCTACACGTTCGTTTACAGTATCGGGCCCATAAACTAAATTAATTTTTTTCAGCCGCTTTGGCTGCTTTGTCGTCTGGTGTCCATCTTTGACGAGCGCTCTCTACGTACTGAGTCAATAATCAATCGAAAAACTGTCAATGACAAACTTTTAGCGCGAATAAACACGTTTTCAGCGTCGTAAACTAAATAGTGCGACACGTAACGCCTGTACTATGGACGCCATCTCCTAAAATCTATAAAAACCGAATGAACTTTTTACTTGAACTAATATATATAAAAGAACAGTAAATTTGTATGGCCGAGTGTGTTTGTGTGCACAACATTATTTGCATGCTGAGAGTTCCACTCAATCGCTTCATTAATGATTAATCCATTAATCAATGAAAAGATTAAGTCCTCAACTCAAACGTGATTCGTGAATTGATTTAATGAGCTTGCTGGTATTCAATTTTGCAAAAAAAAACCTTATAATTGATAAATAATGAAAACAGAAAAACAAATTTATTTCAGTTATCACTTAAAGGGTGAGTTGCCAAGAGAGTAAAATATTGAAAATTGGAGGTTAATATTATAATTGCGTAAAGGGACGATAAGCAACACCAACAGCTTCGTCAGAATCAGGCAGGACGTCTCTGAGTCGTTCGATACCAAACGTGAGTTTTGTTTTCTTCAGACTGGGAAGGGGAGCGAAGCGAATACGAAATATCTGCTGTCAATAAACAGTCATCGTGTTCGCGACGCGGCTCGGGGTCACGGTTGACAGTCATAATGTTGAGGATGTAGATAACTTCGTCCATCTTGGAACCAGTATTAACACTAACAACAATGCCAGCGTGGAAATCCAACGCAAAATCATTTCGACGAACAAAGGCAAACCCCTGCTATATGGTGCCGAAGCGTGGACAATGGCAATACCTGATGAGTTGGAGTTAGGAGTTTTCGAGTGGAAGGTCCTGTGTAAGATTTATGGTTCTTCGGGCACGTAAGATCCCCACAGCGCATCTACTCAATCGGATTTCCTAATCTACATACTTACTTGCTTTTGAAAAAATTTAAAGTTTTTCCTGAAATGAAAACGTCTTTGACTTTGGTAAATTCTTTTCCAATTATTCGATTTTAGTAGAAGCGGATTTTTATTAACGAAAATTTAGCTCCATTCCGGGAATTGATTCAAGGACCTGATTCGATTCACTTCAAATGTAATGAAAAAATCTTTTTTATGACCACTCTGAAGTAAATCCAAAGGAATGAAATTGAGGTAAGCCGACTAATATTTTTATAATAACAAATTTTAGTATAAAAAAAAAAAAATTATTTAAATTTTGCCTCATAAACACTCCGAAACGAATTTCTGCAATTGAATTTCAGAAACAAAAAATGCATTACATGACCAAACTCACTAATCTCCTTTCAAAGGAAAGATTTTCAATGAATTATTGTAATAATAAACTAATTAAAAATAAAAAATAAAAGAATTTTCATGCCACGTGTGGCTGTACAAGAAATTATTTTTCGAAATTCTCAACTTTTTTAAAAATTTGATTATAAAGCGCTAATTTGAAAAAATATGTTGAACTATAAAATCTATTACTTACACAGCGCATAAACCGAAAGAAGGCTTATCGGTAGTAAATTGCAACAATTTTCCACAAATTTAAACTTTTTAGAACAAAATGCATACATGCATATGTATATAAATTCTTTCTTATATAATATATATAATTGGCTCTTTGTAACTGCTGAAGGAATATTCGGCCGAGCTCCTCCTCCAATTTGGGGTTTTGCATCTTGATGTTTTTCCAACAAATGGAGGGACCTACAGTTTATACTAAGCTGCCTTCGAATGGCTGATGGTTTTTTATTAGAAGCTTAATTTCATGCCAGAATTGCACTCGGCAGGGAACGTCAACCGAAAATTTAATTTAATTTTTTATTTAAATTAATTTTGTATAACTTTTTGGATGTTAGTACGACACCAGGATTTGAACCTGAGCCTTCCGAATGGCAGTACGCAATGCTGACTACCCGGCTAACGTCGGTGAAATTTTAATATCTTTCATTTATTGGGCGGGCAGCCTTTGTTCCAAAAACATAAAGTATTAATCTTTATTAGCGCATAATTGGTGATATTAATTGATATTTTTTATTGTTGAAGAGTTTTCGACTAATTACGCTAAGAATGTTTACTTTTTATATTTTTTTTCTCCAAGGTAGGTAATAGTAGTAGCCAAACAAATATGAGCGTGTGTTTGTAAGCATATACATACGTGTATACATACCTTCATGCATACATATAGCTAAAGGTAAAAGAACTTACTTAAGCTTAGGTATATACAATAATATTTCTATAATCGGGGGAATCGAGCTCTTCTAATCGCTATCAGTAAGTAGGATGCCACCCCTCCATCCCTCACTTAGTCCATTTATAAAATCGGGTACCAGAAGCTTTATGCTGTTCAATCGTAAGTCGGTAGCCGTTGAGGTAGAAGGTAATGGCCTGTATAGCATAGGAACTTACGGTAATACATATGGAATACAGTTTAAACTAACAGATTAATCGTGCTTAAAATAGTCTGAACAATTCGAAAGGATTCGTTTTACGTTTTACGAGTGTTTTTCCTACACCAATTGGGTACAACTAATGAAGAGAAGCCGAAATTACATTCAAGAGCAACTCATTCAAGCCACAGCGTTAAGAGCGCGCAGCAGACTTTTATACTCTTATACAAGTGCGCAGTCAATGGTGATATCCACTCGGTTAGCGAGCATCACTGATCAGCGCAGCAATTGTCTGATTCTCCGTGGCTGTTGATCTCTCGATCTTGAGCATAACATAACGACATTCAGCATCTCATTGCCGCTGAGCAGCTAAACGGCTGCATCCAGCCGGTGCAGATTCGAATAAAACGCCGGGCAAATCGGTGGCCAAAGAAAATTAACGGTGCGGCAAAATATTGTACATTTTTTGGTTGAACAAAAGTTTAAAATTCAAATTCTCATGTCGAAAAATGTTAATACAAATATTGTGTAAAACAATTTTTTCACAAAAAGCCACTAAAGTGTAAAAAATTGTAGAAGTATTTGTTGCTAGTGCTGTGAAAAAGGTGTGAAAATACGACAATTTTTATTCGTAATGAATGTGAGAAAAACTAATGCCAAAAGGTGCCGACGAAAACCAAAATGTGTTTCTTTTTGCAAATAATTGTGTGTTTTTGAAGATTTGCGTCAATGTTTTGTTTGTTTCACAAAATACAAAGAAGATTCTCTCAATATATTTTTTGTTTATTATTTCCCACAAAACAGTCTCAATATTATTATTATTGTTTTGAGGATTAACTGGATAAAAGCGATTACAATTTTGAGTGCCATTGTTTTCGAAGGTTGGTGTTTTGAAAATATTTATTTTTTAAATATTGATTTTAGGTAATAACAGGGGATTAAGGACTGAGTGCGAGGCATAAAATAATCAATTTATATATAATTGCTGCTTAGTAATGGAAGCGATCTTCGGCCGGCCGTGTTTGTTCAATTTGTGGTTTGCAGCTTTCATTTCATGACAGAAATACACTGGAAGAGCTTAATATTCCCTCCCGAAGGACGACCGCACGTAGAAAAATGAACTTTTCTATGTTGGTCGAACCAGAACCAGAACTCGAACTCTGGCCTCCCGGATGAGAGTACGCAACGCTAGCCATCTTAGCTCTTATCCAAAAGATTTATTTGTGTATGTATGTATGTAGCTGTACAAACCAAGTTTATCGTCTGGTCACTGAACTATTCTCCCGCTAAATTATGGGTCATTTTGTGAAGCGAAAAATCAATAAACAGGAAAACAAACGAAATGATATAAATCGAACGCAACAAACTAAAATCAGTTCAGCTTTTGCAACTCTCCTCATTGACACGGCATGTGGCAACGACACCCTGGGTATGGTTGGTATATATGTACTCAACCCTTTCCATTGTTCAATATATAGAGCATAAAAGTCTGCCTTCAGTTGACCTGGACATTTTTAACTACTGAAGGTTTAGATAGAAACGCTGTAATTTTGGAAACTAGAACCTTTATTTTTTTCATATTATGAAATGTTAATACCACAGCATATTGATTTCATGACCGAAATCGGAGATATGAAATAAATACCAAAGTATTTTTCCACAAAATATTTTTTAAGCTGAAAGCGAACATTTTACTTTTCAATAACAAACTATCACATTTGAACAATTTCGAAACAAAAAATGAATATTTTACGCTTTCAAAAAAGATGTACAATACATTGTACAAATGCTTGCAACTCGAAGATTTGTCCATTCTAGGTTGCTCCATTGAAAAGATTCCGAAAAACAGCTTAATGGATTTAGTGCATTTTCGAGGAAGAGAGTCAAACCATGTTGTATATAGAGAATATATATGGAAAAAAAGGAAGTGTGCAAGACACGGCAAACTTTTGAAAATCAGAAATTAGAATCAATAGCAGAAGGTGTGTCTAGCTCAAATTCCAGAGATAAAGTGAAAATGAAGTGAATTAGCTCGTAATGTCCTTGCCCTCTTCACTTTTTCAATTCGTTTAGATTTGAGGTCCTTTGCAAGAAATCAAAGGCTGATGTGAGAGGGTTAAATGCATATATGTACATATGTTTGTCTACATTATACTTCCAGATTTGACCTCTATTTTGTGGTTCTTACCATAATTGCTACTACCGACCAACATTCGAAATTTTAGAAAGAAATTTTCTAACTGCGGTTATCGCCCGGCAAGGAATTTCAACCTCCGCGGTGTATTTCTCAAATGAAATAAAAAGCTGCTTAAAAAGTCATGAGTCGCTCGGAGGCAGCTTTACAAAACTATAAGTTGTTCAGGTCAATGCAGATGGTCACTCTTAGCCAAACTAACAGTAAACGTAAGCACATAGAAGGTTTCATCTCTACTCTGCTGTCAGCGTCAGTGCACTTCCGCTAATACCACACGCATGCATTGCGGGGCAATTTCTTTTTTATCTCCACGATTGCTCTAGTTTTAGCCTGTTTCTTGGTCTTCGCAGCTAATTATAGAGAGACGAAAAGTCCCATTAACAACGGCAATTGTATTGAAATGGCTGTCTGCTTGCCGCATAACATGTGTTGTTTGTTGCAAACGCGTGCCAGATTCTAGCTTGGGGTAGGTTTTATGGGTTGATATATGTATATAGACACTTTTAATAGTAAGTTCCAGCAACAAATTATGTTTAACAACTTGCGAACCTTTACACTCTTTATCTAGTTCGCTGATAAAATTCGATTGTGTCTATTAATTGACTATGAGTTTAATGTTGACTGATATCAATTGCTTACATACATACATACATACATACATGTATATATGTACGTATTGTACAAAATGACTATCTTTTGGAAGACTGAAGTTTAATGTATTTTTTCGGCATCAAATTCAATTTCTCAACTTTGCATAGATCGATATCTAAATCGTTAGTTCTCTACCCACAGTGCCCAACTGAGGTGAATGACTTGGCGTAAGTTTGTTTGTTTTGAAAACACATATAAACCGATAAATACCTAAATACTATTGCAATAACTGCATTTAATTTTACACATTTTTTGTATTGTTTTTGTGTTCTTTTATCTGCATTGTTGTTGCATAGTTGGATTCAATTACTTTTTGCTGCACTTTGTTGTTGTGTGGACAGCATGCTGTTCTTTTCTTTCTCTTCAGTAACGCTTCAGTTTCAATCTGGCGGATGCTTTCTCCCACACACATGTGTGCTGTTTTTTGAACCATATGCTCCTTTGCTTTTCAAATAAACTAACGGCATATGGTGAATACACACATACAGAGTAGTACTCGTATGCACGGCTGTGGATTTCTTATGCAGAGTTTCACAAGACAATGTGTATATTTGTATTGTGGGTGCTTGAATTGTTGAGTGCCTCCGTGGAACTATCGATAAATAAAATAAAACGCTTATGCCGGGCTCACATTTCTTCAAAAGTAAGATAGTGAGAGGAATTCCAAAAGTTGAGGAATGGAAAGCACATCAGCGATATAAAAGTATATTTTTTTAGTGTTCATGTTCCAGAAAACCAGTGGAATGAAAATTATGTGAATTTCGAAGAGTAAATTTTGCATTTTGTGTTTTCTCCAGACCATGGGATTTAAATCACGAGACAAATATGCCTTTAGTTGTTGTGACAGCGGCAAAGGTACAGCTAATAAACTTCATCGAAGTTATGAAACATGGGACGGAGGTTGATGTAGGTCCCTCCGTTTGTTGGAAAAATAACAAGATGCAAAAACAACAAATGGTATTAGGAGCTTGGCCGAAAATCGTTTCAACGGTTCAAGTATTTTCATTCGGCTTTTACACGAAATTGAAATGCAGAACATGTCTGATAGTCTCCACATTCACTAACCTTTTTCAAAACTATAAAAACGAAAAATATTGTGTGATTCGCCTCAAAATATCCTAAAATTACTTCTCTTAACTATTTTTACATTTTTGCATTTGAAAATTGTTTCGTAATTATTTCGGAAATGCGTTGGAAGAATAAAATATCCTGATTATTTCAGAATAACATCTGCAGATGTTTAAGTACATGTTTTTCCAGGGATCGATAAAATCCTTTTGGAACTACCACAGAGGCTGTGACTATTTTAGCTTAAAAACGATTTCCAAATATATTTTAGAAACACCAAATTGTAGCAGGGAATTCTAATTATTATTTGGCATATCGTGTGTATAAGTATGAACAATTTGAATGAACTGCGACCTTCCTTGAAAAATTGCTTATCAGCGTAGTAGCTGCGAGATCTACACACTTACATACATATGCACGTACATTAAATTATGCTAAAGATATTTAATCATGCCTATGCTGCTTATCTGTGCAATGACTCGCTTTAGTTTCTCCGTCTCCGACACAGACGATCGCAATTTAGGAATTGCTTATAATACTAGGTTGCCTTTCTATATGCTTTATTCAAGTTTTTTCATTTATGTGCGTTCAAAGAAAGAAAACAGCTTCATAAGACCCGCAGAAAGGCAATCAATTCAACTATGTTACAACAATTTTAAATATTTATACGAGAGTGTAGAAGAATACGTTTAAGCATTAATATATTTACATACATATATACTCGTACACACATACACGTAACTGTCTGTGTGGCTGCTTATGTCTGACTGCACATTGTGTGGGTGTTCTCCGACTATTCTTAATATGACGTCGTGATTGCTCAACACTACATTTCTCTTATTCATGTGCAATGCAGACATATGTACATGTATACATACTCACATATGTTAAATATAAGTTTACATATAAAAATCGTGTACGCACCGGTTTGTGTGCATTTTGCCCCCTCATCGATATAAACACTGACGATAAAGCGCAACAGGGCGAAGTGAGAAAAAAAAAGAGAAAATAGTTGAAAACGGAATCGTCCATTGATTTGTGTTGGCGTCTTTAATCGCATGGAATTGAGAAACGCAATCACAATATTCCACCTTTCCGCTTATAAGTATTAAAACAAATGATACGTGAAACATATGCATGCACATATATATGACTGAATTTACATATATGTATATATTTTATTGTTCATAAATTACTAAATAGTGTTAATTGGAAAGTAGGAGCATTAGAATAAAGATTAAAAAACATTTTTGAACAAATTTTTGTTACTCTAAGTGCCAAACCTGCATTGGTTGGTGATGAAAGTCTAGCGAGCTGTTCGGTGATTTCTTTGTAGGCATTAAATATTTTTCTGTAACCCTCATTTAACTTTGATCCCTTATCTGCTTTTCCAGTCATAATAATGCAGAGCTGCGTGTTGCCATCGTTTCCACAATTTCTGATAGAGCTTCCCGGCGAGAGTACGAATGTAAGGTACAGATAAACAGTTAGGAAATGTTAAACTATTCCTCTTCGCATCTTTATATCCATGAATATGTGTGAAAATTGCATAATCCCGACATGGCTAAGGTAATCAGAATCAGGAATATGAATGAAAGATCGTTTGAAACATTTTTTTAAAAACTGTGTATTTTATTATTTGAAGAATAAGCTCAAAATTAATGTGTTGCCAGGCCTCGCTACATCGCCAGAATCATTTCGCGAGGAGGGATATTGGAACTTTTGTTCTTTTAAGTGGAAGGTCTTGATTTTGTTTTTAACTTTTCTTACTATATACTTTTGAAAGAAAGAGTGCTAAACTCGTTAGTTACCTCTGTGACACGTTTAAGGTTAGACGTGGATTGCTTAAGATATTTCGAGATTAGAGAACAAAAATAAATAGTTTTCATCCAAAATCGCTTTATTGTTTTCGAAGCATATGCATATGTGAGAGCTCGTGATGTCGTGGTGAAGAGTGGTCGTCTTTGG